GTTACCTGTACAATTATATTAGCAAAATCGATACCCGGATAATCATATGGTTATAGAGGCTTGTCCAGGTTTCTGGTTAGATGTTATAATCTACTACTTCAGTAGGAAGGAGTGATATTATCTAGTTTTGTTCAACATATGTATACATTCGATAAGTTGATATCCAAGCCAAAAGCTACTAACTCTATTGACGAAGCCAACGTCCCTCCAACCGTGCACCCTCCATCTAGTAAGTATATACACCCAGCCAATTTTCGAGTTGTTTTTCCCCTTGAATGCAACGAGGTCCATCCGGTCCCATGAGGTAAACCACGAAAGAGAGTGAATATGAAAGGTATGAAACAAGACAGTAGAAAGCACGCATGTTAAGATGCTCCAACAAGAACAATATGGAACAAGACGACATGCAAGAGAGGCGACGAAAAAAAATAAATCATGTATGAAGAATCAATCAACACTCACTCACTCTCACTCAGTGTCCATTAACGGCAGCAGCACCCTCCACCTTCTCAACATACTCCACCAGATCCTCAATTGTACACACCTTGATCCCCCACTTCTTGCCAAATCTCAAACACCCATCCCGTCTCATCATCCCATTGTTGCCTCCAATTTCCGGAACTCCCTGTACGACCTCTCCATCCTCGACAAGTTCCGCGATGACACCCGCCTGCGTCTTGCCTGCCAACCGACAGAACTCCACTGCTGCCTCAGTATGTCCCTTGCGTTCCCTGACACCTCCGGGTTTAGCCTGTAGCGGAATTACATGGCCGGGTCGTCGCAGATCCGCTGCCGTGGAGGTGGGAGATCCCAAGATCCGACAGGCAAGGGCGCGGTCCTGTGCCGAGATACCTGTTGTTATGGAGGGATCAGCTGCGTCGACGGAGACGGTATATGCGGTTCCCTTGGGATCGGCGTTCTCGGTAACCATTTGGGGGAGGGCGAGTCGGGCGGCTATTTCGGGGGTGACGGGGGCGCAGATCAACCCACTGCTCTTTCATCGTTAGCATAGATGATCTTGTTGAGTAACATTTGATATGCTGGTGGGGGGTGGGGGAGATGGGGGTTTCACCTTGTGTGGCGAACTAGGAAGGCCATTTGCGCCGGAGTGATGGAGTCGGCGGCGATGATGAGATCGCCTTCATTTTCGCGGTCTTGGTCATCGAGCACGATGATGAATTCACCGTTCTCTAATGAATTGGTGTGATTGTTAGTTATATGGGTGTAGTATGTATGTGTTATGGGTGTGGTGGGATGGACTTGCCCCGCGCTGGCGCGGGTGGGAGGTTCTGGAGCTGGGTGACTCACTGAAGGCTGCTATTGTGTCCTCAATAGAGTCGAATTGAAGGGTTGGGTCCGAAGGAGAATGCATGTTGACTGGTGGTTCGGGTTTGGTTGTCTTGTATCAAGGAGGCGGTTGTCTTGGAGGATTGTTCCCCTCGTTGCTTTGCGGAATTGGAGGCGGGGCTGAGGGAATGGCTAAATGCTACCTTGAGGGTAACTGGTTCCTCTGATGGAATGGGGAGACTGGTAGGTTTGAAATTGATGGTGCTGTCCACGAATTGAGCCCAGTTTAGGTGCGAAAGCTCGAGGGTTTATAACAATTGCGCCGAGTACACTGTGCTTTGCGATTCCGTCGCGATCTTGAGTGGGATGACTGTATCTTCGGGGCGGAGACTCGGAGACTCGGATTCGGGGGAACGCGGGGAGGGGAGGACAGAGGGAATGGGATTTCGCCCTTACTTTTGAAATGAGGTAATTGAAGAAGCTGTTTATGGGATATGGTAGAAATTATGTGTAACTGAAAGCAAAGAAGTAGAAGCGGAGCCCTTCAAAGAGACCGAGAGAATGGGAAGGAAAGGCAAAACCCGTGGGGGCTCACTAATGGTTTGTCAGAAGCCAGTCATCGCGGCAGGCCGAGGCCGTTGTGAGATTCTCGCCGCACCCGAAAACAGTGGAACTAGGCAATTCATCGGACAAATGTAAGGGGCAAACGGCCAGAAAACAAAGTGTAATCTTGTATATCTGATCTAAATAGGATCACTCGCGGGTTCTATCTAAGCACAAGGGTATCGCTACCATAACATCAAGCCCGAACTGGAGGTATATTCAACCAAACCAAGGAATCATGCATGAAGGGGTACGTGCAGAATCTTGAAAAGCCAAGTATGCGTTAATCAGATGCGCTTCATCTATTTCACTGGAGGAAAACATCATCCTCAAATCACAGCCCCAGGCCCCCCATCCGTCTCACTTCGTCGGCTTGCCTCTCCAGTGCCCTGCGCATCATCGTGGCATATTCATCTTCCCGCCGACGTAGCTCCCGCCGTTTGTTCCGTCGCTCTTCACGATCCGCTTCCCCGATATTTCCATTGAGATTCATAGCATCATCTTCTTCGTCCGAATCTGGAACCATGTCCGGGAGGTTTGAGAAATGGACGCGTCCGATGTGTTCTCCTGTCCAGACAAGTAATTCATCACCTGTCAAGCTGCCGCCGGTCGGGAGGATCTTTCGAGCAACTTCGCCCTCGCTGCGAGACCGCGATAGGCTACCCCATAATCCGAATGTCTGTTCTTCCTCTTCACCGTTGGTACTAGCGTTGCTTCCCAAATGAGTGGACGTTTCCCCGTTGCGCTGTGGGTAGTATCTTCGCTGCGGTTGGTATGAATTAATGTTTAGGCGACGAACTTCGGAACGTCCATCACGCTCAACCCATTTGATATTGCCGTCTGCATCGGAGTAGACAATTCGGGTCCCGTGTGATTCGACTGAGAGCACCTTGGATCTAGCGACACTCTGCCGATTTTGGTACACTGTAGACAGGTTGGACGAGCAGCCCGATGGATCGCTCTTGGCGTTGGTGTTGGAGGGCGTGAGATCGTAGAGCTCAAGAGAACCCCGCCCTTTGTAGTCGCCGCAGGCCACCAATTTATGGGATGCGGGAAATTCAGAATTGGGAGAGACAGGGAATCGCGGCGCCGGAACAGCAGCAAGACCGCAGAGTTGACCACCAGAGTGAATTGTGTTCTGAAGCCGTGGGAAAAAGCGACGGTCATACTGTAAGATGCTTGGAAAACGGCCGGCGAGGAAGATCGAATTCACGTGCGGTGCGGGAGGGTGTAGAAGCGAGAGAGGTCCTGGCTGGAATAAGGGTGCATAGTTGTCACTGTTTTTTGAGAGATCAGGGCTTCGTATCCGGTGCGGGGGTTGTCCGTTCGGTTGTAGCTGCAAAAGAGGTGAATCGGGCGGAGAATAGATCTCGGATTTGGGGACTAGCGAGACGGTCGGCTCCTCACAGCGTAGAGTGATAGCCTCCTGCTCCTCCGTCGCTGACATTCTGCCATCGTAGATGTGAAGACTCAGAGTGGTAGCCACCGTCAACGGTACAGAATAATCCGTCTCCTGGGACAAGGCAAAAACGGACCAAGGGAAGCGTTGTTGGGAAATAACAGTGAGACTTTCGAGATCTACCTCGTTTAGAATATTCCCGACAGCCAAGTAGGCCCTCCGACGCATAGAGTCTACGCTCACACATTCTCCGAGATTCACGAATTCCAAGGCTTGCTTTGCTCCAGAGTTGTCTCGTCTGCCAAACCGGTTGGCCATCAGTATCCCCGGCGAGCTGACCCCAAGAACCTTACCCTTGGTGCTCTGAGATCCAATCGAATGCGAGTGATTGAGATCCCAAATGCAGACACTACCGTCATCAAGGGGCGCAACGACTTTGTTCTGTCGAGCAGTACTCCAGTCACGGAGCAGTCCCATTCCTTTAACCTCTCGGTATTCCCTTTTCCCACCCTGTGATACCCTGGAGAAGGGTTGCTGCATCCAACTAAGTGAAATCGGGCCATTTCGAGCAATGTACTCCGAGTACCAGTTCACCTCCTCCCCTTCGTAAGACGGATCCCACGACGCCGCCGCTCTGGATCTGTGCCCATAAGACGGCGTTTTATCCGAGCCGTTTGATTTACTGTCTCTGAGCCCAGACGCGCCTGGCTGTATCAGCGATCGAAGCGAAGTTTGGCCTAATGAGCTGAGGGAAGCCGTGGAGTTGGTGACCAGGCTCTCGGAGGTCTTGTTGGTAGCGGAACGCAAGGCTCCGGAAGCGCTCCATGACTCTTCGAAGCAGTGGAGTCTCCAGAGATTGTTATCCCGGGCCACGGAGAATAGCCGCCTCGAGACGGACTGGAGTTGTACCCGCTCGTGTGGGGTGAGATCTAAGGGTGCGTCAGCTAATGCTAATGAAGGTCTAGCACATGGCATGAAACCGGTGATGTGGGGTAACCTGGACCCTGGAAGAAATGGGGGCAAACAGCGTACAGTCAATAATCTCGCAGAGGATCTCTACGGGGAGTTTCTCCATGGGTGAGACTGGGAAAAGAGAACCATTGAGGGCCAACGGGTCTGACTCATTTAGCTTGTGCGACGGAGGGTGTAAGCAAAGGCCATAACTGTTTCTTGGGGATGAAGCTCCATTTTATCCCCCCACAATCCGCAATCTAGACCGTCGTCACGTGGGGAATGCGCAGGCCGACAAGCAACAGTTCAGTCTAGCATCGCCGATCAACTTCACACGTAACCGATAAAAACTGCTAAGGCATATAGAAAGGCTGATGTGGCTTACGTAGGTTGGTCTAGAAGTTCAATTGAATTATTCTGCCCTGTAACCTAAAAGCTCTTGTTGCATTTGGAATGCCGGATACTACATTCCAGCGCTATCATAGGCGGATTACTAGTCCTATATATAGCAAAGTCACACCGCACGGATTCTTTATGATTCTTGAAATTTCCGAAGGCCTTCCATTCACTTAACACTACTAATATCAACTAAGAGCCAGAACCTGATAGGCAGCCAAAACCTTTTCCTTCCCTACCCAACCCTTACCCAACCGTCATAAATGGCATTACTCGTACATTAACCGTCAGACGTGAGACCAGGCAATAACAGCAATAGCATGGGTGCCTGGTCGAGGTACATAAGCATGATCCTGGCTGTATCCTAGCAGTCAGGCTTGTAGACGGCGTCCTTGCAAAGCACGGCCACCTTCTTGAAGAAACGCCGCCATTCCAGCGGATCGCCCTTCACCTTCATGAACTCGATCTCGAATAGGCCCTCGGAGACACATTCGATCAAGACTTTACCCTGCAGAGTGCACATCCTTCCATCACGAGTTACGATACGAAGCATTGCGGAAGTGTCCCCTGCGGAAACGGCGGGAACCGCAGGAACCGGAACCCCTAAACGATGCAAAGCCTCGCAGATGAGAGGAACTAGGATCTTGAGCTCCCACGTAGAGAAGAATCGTGTCATGGGACGAGAAGGCACGATGTCATGGAATCGCTGCGCTTTCTGCGTCCGACTCAGGGGTACGGACGGATGAGGCGAGAATTGTGACATTGACGGCTCATCCTCTAGATGGTCGAGGGCCGACATGTCGTCGGCAGAGAACGGTCGCCCCAGGGGTTGTGTTGATGAGAACGCATCCGCCACTTGCGGGGTATCCCAGTCGACCAGCATATCAGTCCTCGGCATCTCCGGCTGCGTTGATGAAATCCTTTGTTCAGCATCAATCCCATCACCCAGATCGATATCCATTCGACCCCCACCAAAACTACCCCCATGGGGTTGAGCGAAAGGATCTTGGGAAAAGTCGATATGGAGTGACTCGAACATGGTTGTAGCTAAGTTGATCGGATCCCTTAATGTGCCATTTCGGGATAGGTATTTGTTCGGTCGGGTATACCAGGGATGTCTCCGAACGTCCTCCAGAGAAAAGCGGTTAGAGGGGTCGATGTTCAGCATTCCACGTAGTAGCGAAAGAGTCTCTATAGGCAATTGCTGCCAAAGCTCATCGGATGTGCGTCCGTTTGTTGCGAGGTATTCCTGAAATTCGTAACTGGTCTCTGTCGGACTATCCCACGGGGTGTTTCCAGCCAAGAGGACAAACAGGACGATTCCGCAGGACCAGATGTCCACTAGGTCCGGTCGGTAGCCTGCACCTTTCATCATATGTTTGCTACTGCAAGATATCACCTCTGGTGCAATATATGGAGGACTCCCACAGAAAGTTGTAGACAACTTCGTCACGCCCTTGTACTCGAATAACGTGGCTAGCCCAAAGTCTGCGATTTTCAGGTTCCCGTCGGCTGTCAAGAGCATATTTTCGGGCTTGATGTCGCGGTGGCCCACGCCCTTCGAATGCATATAACCCACGGCACTTATCAGTTGCGAGAAGTATACATGCGCGATGTCCTCGCCAACGCCCTCGTCAGCCTCGATCTTGTCGAACAGATCGCCACCCTCGGCCAGCTCCATCGCAACCCAACGCCAGATGTCATCTTCCCCAGTTTGGAAGAATGAAATTATATTGTTATGATCCCCGATATGCTTGTGGACTGTCGCCTCCATTTGTAGCTGACGCGGGCTGACCTTTCCATGACGGGCGGCGTACTCTTTGTGGATGAACTTGACTGCGAAAACGGGATTGTCTGTGTAGGTGGGGACGGCCTTCTTGATGCTGCACCGTAATTCTTCGTCAGCAAGTGCTTGAGGTTTCATACAGCAGAGCACAATCGATGAAGTCAATCTTACCAGGCGTAAGCACCCTGACCAATTGTTTTGGAAACGATGCGAAATGGCAAGTCATTCGGCAGCGGGGCCAGCTGAGAATGGTGCATGTTGACGAAGATTCACGAGAAGGACGAAATATGACAGATCAACTGAGATTCACAGGTCTTGCCATTTAGGGGGGGGGGAGTCAATATTGAGCCATGATCGTGTGACGGTGGCGAGTATCAATGCAAGGGCGATGGAAGGAGAACGAAGCTGAAGAGAACGCGCTGGGCGGAACGCGAGAGCCACTTTATCCTCTTTGGGTAATCTGTTGATCGGCTGCCTGGCACAGCCTTTAGTGGACCCAACATGATGGATGGGGAGGAAAGGGAATATTCCGACAGAGAGATGGAATCAAAGATCAGTAAGACAGGAAAATAGTTGAAGCTATTTGACTTGAGTGAGGAATGCAAAGACCAGGAGAGATGCAGCTACGAGCATTATATCGACTAATTGACCGCCTGATCTGCCCTCGACTTAACAGACACACTGGCCACGCTGCTTTTGCTGGCTCGATCTGGACCCGCAGCAGCCAATAATGAAGTCCAACTGTAGGGGAAAGATCCGGAGTCGCACCGAAACGACACCACCTTTACTTTGTATGAACTTGCATCGACACCGGCCAATATTCCACTTAACCGAAAACAAAATTAGAAAAATTGTAGGGAAAATGGTACATCATCACTTCTTCTCCTTACAAGTACCTTATAGAGGTCCCATCACGGGAGAATCAGCAGAAAACTGAGTTTCGCGATGACAATATGACTAGCGACTCACAATAACTTCGCAAGCGTGACGGATGAAGATGATCTGGACCGGTCATCTGGTGGAGCCCCAAAGAATCAGTTGGCGGCGGCGTTGCCGGGCGGATGGCCGAGTAAACAATGAAAGACCGAACTTCCCCTCCACTATTGTCAACCGGACATGAACCCACTTTTATTCTTCCTCCCCCCCTGCTTTCTATCTCTCTTCAAGATTTTGAGCTTGACTACTTCAGTAATACTGGCAGACAACATTTTTCCATTCCTCCACCTTCTTTGCCCAACGTTCCATCAAGGCTTGTTCTGAGTTCACAGCATCCGGGGATTCATCGGGTGGGTCAATCCGCTTCCCCTCCAGCCAACTGTCCCGCTGCATTCGGAGCCAGCGTCATTCCAGACAAACCCTCTTCTTCTTCCTCTTCCTTTCTCTTCCTACCGATTACGACGGTCCGTTCAACTCTACCTGGCATTCCTCCCATCCCGGAAACTCTCGTCATCGTCTCTTCCTCTTAAACCCACCGTTGCTTCCGCTATACCCCCGATCTCTTTGCACTTCTTCATAATGGACTACAGCATGGAAGACACTCAGAACTCGGCTCCTGACGCCCACGAGGCGTCCAAGCTCAACTCGTCAGCCCAGAGAACCGACATTCAGAGCGTCACCAAACGGTTCGTACCGCGATGCTGAATGCAGCCTTCAAATCGCTCACTTTCCCTCCTCTGGAATCTTGCATACTGATTGTCATTCTATCTCGCCAGCCTCCAAGCCGAGCTGATGCAGCTAATGCTCTCCCCCTCTCCGGGAATCTCGGCCTTCCCTGACGCCGACGGCAACCTCCTCTCCTGGACTGCCACTATCAGCGGACCGGCTGAAACTCCTTACGAAGGACTTACTTTCCGTCTTTCCTTTGCCTTCCCCAACAACTACCCTTACGCTCCCCCTACTGTTCTATTTAAAACTCCCATCTACCACCCTAATGTCGACTTCTCCGGCCGTATCTGTCTGGACATCCTGAAGGACAAGTGGAGTGCCGTCTACAACGTGCAGAGTGTTCTCCTTAGTCTGCAGAGTCTGCTGGGTGAACCTAACAAGTAAGACGATACCACATCGCAACATTCCAGTTCATGCTAACAGCTACTTAGCGCGAGCCCTCTCAACGCCCAAGCTGCTGAGCTCTGGGACACCGACCAGGAAGAATACAAGAAACACGTTATGGCCCGGCACCGCGACATCGAAGACATCGAGTAATTGGTTCGTCTATAATCGTCGTCGTCCGTTCGGTTGTTCCCGCAGACATGGGACGGACCGACTTGCATTGCATGAGATCGGGGTCTGTGCGTTTCATTTGGGGGCAACGGTTGCATGGTGCATTCTAATCTTCGTCGTAACGAAGTCATGAGTTCAGCACCGATGGTTTTTCAGGAGTTTATGCGTTCGGGGAATTCTCGTTTGGGACCACAATTGGAATGGAAATACAGGAGCCCGCGCGTGTCCCGGGACAAATACCCTGCTTTGATTTTACATTCGTTGTTATTGTTACCTGCACATGATGTTGGGTTCGTTGGTAGCTATTACGTAGGCAGTCACTGATCAAAGAGATAGCTTCCATTGTATTTTTCGATCAATATAAGTGTTGATATTGTCTATACTAACCTAGTAGCAGAATACATAGGAGCTACTATTGCCATCGCCAGGGTGAAAAGTAACCCTGCCGACAATATATCCACCATAACCAGGACTATTAAGGCACGACAGGAAAGTCTTTTGCTCTAGAAGAGTGTCCTCCACAAGCAAGCACAGCAAATACTAACCAATAAACAACCCATGATCCATTGTTCTACCGCTATTTACTCACCCCAATGTTACTTTCCTAGATATCACGGAGTACACATAGTACTACATAGCTACGACTCCACACCTCTGCAATAAGTAGTCCTAGAAAGATAGCTGCTGCCCTAACTAACATCTCATCGTCTCTTGATCCAATTCATTGCGCTATGCTACAAAATTACATGTAATCCATAGCCCAGAGACTCTTAAGAAAGTGAAAGCATCAGCACCTTCCTAAAGCAGGTGAAGAGCGGGTGAAGAGCGGCAACGTCTTCCGGACTTGTCGATGCCCCTCGGAGATCTTCCTCTTACATCTACTTTACACGCAAACAGACAGCTAGAAAAATGGCCAATCCAACGTTACTCCTTTTATCCTAATGCTGCAGAGATCAACTGCCATCCCAAACCGAACAACTTTCACTTAGGTAAACATGGCGCTAGATCTATTACCCGCAGCACTCTAAATAGCAATCATTCCTGCAATCGCCGCGCTCATAAGTGTGCTGATCGCTCCTGTTATCATTGCACTAAGCGCCACGCGAGATACATCTCCTGCCCGTTCGGGAGCCAGTTGTGCCAGAACTCCGATCTGGTTTCCTAGGGAGCCGATGTTCGCGAATCCGCAGAGGGCGTACGTGGCTATTAGTCTTGATCGCGGAGATAGAGTTTGGTATTGCGGGTCGGTTTGAAGGGCTGAGTATGCTATGAATTCGTTCTAAAGGTTGTATCCCTTGTTAGGGGTAGGTTCTGGGTATTGGAGAAGAAGCTTACCATCACAAGCTTCATGCCGATTAGTTGTGCTACTTTCAGGAGGTCATCATCCCGGGAAACACCCAAAAGGAAGGAAACAGGGTAGCAGATATATCCCATAATGAGTTGGATCGTCAAAGGAGGATTGTTGATATTCAGGTAGCGTCCCCACCAGGTGAGAAGACCGTTGGCTAGACCGACCAGAGAAATGATACAAAGTAGGTTGGCGGTAATCATGCCCGCGATTTTGATACCCATCCAGGCGCCATTGGCAAACGCATGAAGGGTGTTTGCGGCTTGATGCTCTTTGTCTTCCGGGACGGTGACATGGCTTGCTGTGAGGGTTTCCTCTTTTTCGGGCCAGCGTATCTTGGATGCTGCCAGGGAGGCGGGAATGCTCATGACGCAGGAAGATACAAGGGCTTGAGGATTGACGCCCATGCCGATGTATGCAATGAGACCAGAGCCGGCGATGGTGGCAAATCCAGAGGTCATAGTTTGATGAATTTCTGCCATGGTCAGGTGCGGTACAAAGGGCCTTATAAGCATGGCTGATTCCCCCTGCCCGATGAACGGGGAGGCCGCTGCAACAACCGCTTCTGCCCCGGAGACACGCATCGACCAGAAAAAGAATGTCGCAAATTTGCGAACGAACCATTGTAAGATGCCGGCATGATATAGGAGCTGCACAAGAGATACGAAGAACATAATTGCAGGGATAACACTAACGATGAACCATCCTTTGTGTTTCTCGGCCCAGCCTGTCTCGATGAGGAAGTCAACACCTTGCTCTGCGAACCCTAGTAGCTTCTGGGCTAGGGTCGATATAAAGTTAAAGATGTCGTATCCCGCCTGTGTCCGCAGGACGAATAGAGCCACAAGGAATTGAACCAACATGCCGACGATGACGGTATGCCAGACGATATTCTTGTGGTCCCGAGAGAAGAGCCATAGGATGAATAAGAAAACAATCAGCCCGAATAGGCTAACTGCTCTGTCGGCTCGCGTGTTTTCCGGTGTATCCGCAGAGACAAAACAACCGACCATAATCACGGCAATTGTCATCAACGCTGCACCTGGTATACGAAAACTTGGAGGCACATAGCTCACAATACGTGAGGCGGTCTGTTTCCAGATCCAGTAAACCGGTCTGGTGAGCACAGAGATGGGAAGATAGAGAAAAAGAATACGCAGTGTGATAGCCAGATAGACGAGAAAGGGGATTAACCATCCTAGGTCATCACGGTGAAGGACGAGCCCCGTGACCCACCACCTGGGGATTAGGAATAGGTGAGCTTGCAAATATAAGGGGTTGAAAACGCTGCAATCGAAGCTCACCCTGTGAAAAGTATCAGTATCCCAGCATATGCCACATGCCTGGAGTACCTGGGCATGCAACGCTGATACTGTTGCCGAGGAGTGTGGCTTATGTCCGCTTCTTCGATATTATTTTGTTTGCCCTGATGTTCTTCTGTGGGTAGCTTCTTCATGTCTGGGGAACTGATTTCATCGCCACGGGGGGGTTCTGAGTTACCTGCATGAACACCTGCAGTCTCATTCAAATTGCTGCAAGCCTGTGACATGACTGTGGTCTTCTGGCTAATCGCCAGGGCTTTCTCATCTGCCATCATCTCTGTGGTACTAACTTCTCGGGGAGGAGACGGTGAGTTAGTCACGGATCCAAGGGATAAGATGCTGTCCCATGGTGCATCTGCAGCCTCTCCTAAGTGATTTGCGGGGAAGAATGGCACGCGAACAGAGGGTGTCTTATGGTGGGCTTACGGTGAGACACGTCTGATAAAGAAATGAGGAGACCTAAGCAGCCTATGTTGCTCCAGCCATGATCAAGCCTCGAGGTTGTACAACGTGGGTCAAAAAGCTCTATCGACGGGCAAGACGCATTATGCCAGGGATGGAGTCGCGGTCACTCTGGCGGTCTACCCTTTATACTTTCTCGTCCTTGTGTCACCTGGGACCTTTACTCTTGCTGTCACTGGCTGTGTATCCAGGGACGAGCAATTTTGCGTGGTGTTCTCTTTCATCCAGGTAATTGTGCGGAGTAGTGTAAGTTTATTGATGACGACTGAGAAAACTATTCAATCTTGCCTTCCGGCCATTAGCCTAATCCTAACTCTTTGCGCTGAAGGGGCTAAGTAATATGCTTCCTGATGACATGTCTATGACCGGTCACATGGCTCATTATTGCATCGACTTGCAATGCTTGCCCATTTAGTTGTAGCTCGAATACAGTCGGTCTGATTGGCCGGAGAAGGGTGTGGTGTGCGCCGTATCGTGGTACTAGTATGCATGCTGCATCAGAACAATAATCCTGCAAATCCCGTGAGCTGTAAGTTATTCTTTTTTTTATTGTTTTTGTGTATGTGTGTGTGTGTGTGTGTGTTTTTATTGTAAATCTCACATTGATGCAAACTTGGTCCCGGTGACGAATGTTGCTACTAACTCTTATTTCCGAAGCATTGGGGGGAAGACACAGACTTCCTGCTTTTGACCTCCTCTGGACCTCTTTAGTATCGAAGAGTGCGGAAAATATTTACCAGTGAGGTGCCACATGGCAGAAATGTTTTTGCAATTGCTATGGATGTCCCATACGTTTGGCCATGACTCCTAGTCATCCACCTGGCTGGCTACCATTGATCAAACTTCGGAGAAATACGACGTTGCAGCCAACGATTTCATCACGGAATTATATAAAAGATCAGTACGCTTGACTAGGACCTGACAATGCTATGAGGAGCACATCGAGACAAGAAAACAAGAAATCACTAGCAGTTGATTATTCGGTCTCCAGAAAGCAGTGGAAATAAGCCAATAAGTTGTGTTTCTCGTTCATCTTGTCTGATTTCTGGACTCTCGAATCCTCTATCGGCGAAATATATGTTCATGACTAACAGTTTTGAACACTGTGTGCATGAATAGATGATGCATGGCCTGCGAGTGCTTAAATTCGTGGTAACCTTCACGTCTGGACGTCCGGAGCGGAGGCAAATGGATTATATGGAAGATGGTATGGACACCTGCTCTTTCGCGAAACAGTACTTGACTCCATTTGCTTCTATATAATAACAATTTTGGTGATTTTGTTCCTGCGACCTGTGCGGCAGTTATATATATTCATCCCCAACGCTTGTAGTTAATACTGGGAAAGACGGCAAGACATTACTCGGCAGCAGGACGGACGCTACGCTGGAACAGAGCCCAGACCTCATATGGAGTGTTTACTGCGAGTTGCAATTTGTCTGAATGGCCTATTCCTGCATGCGGCCTGCGACGCTTGAAACGTTACATTGAGGGAAACGGCAAGCGGGTTGGAGCAAGGAAACTCGTTGGACTGTGAGATGGGGATGTACAACCTGACTGCAAGACATGGATGGTAGATATATATTGCCGTTGACTACCACACTGCAGTACCAGCCTGGACGGATTACATTCAGCGGATCCTGGAATCATTGAAACGGAGAAGCCGATATATGATCAGTTGTGTGCGATACACAAGGCAGAAACTCCAAAAAGATCGACCGGTCGGTGCAGTGGACGCAACCGTTGGACATCACCGACCGCATCGGTATGCCCTTTCAATTGAACACCAATTACAGCCGAACATTTTTGACCTGACTGGGTCATAACGACGCGACAGACTGCTTGTGTGCAGGGAGGGAAGACAAAAAAGGTCGTGCCCGGGATCGAACCGGGATTGCTGGAATCAGAATCCAGAGTGATAACCATTACACTACACAACCTGTTGCTGTGATAGACGGGTTGCTTTTTAGCCCTACAACCTAAGAAATTCAGAAAATCAAGAAACAAGGTCGTGATATGACCTCATTGTTTTCGCCAGCTCAAGGTACCTAAATCGACTCTACCCCGCAAATCTGTTTCACACATGCTACAGTAAGCATAGTTTGCACAACATGGAGCCGCAGTCGAATGAGGAGTGGCAAATCGAGGAGGGCATCCCCCAAGTTGAAGATCCATTTATCCAGCAATATTTGCGGGGTCGGAGTTCGCTTATTCTGGAAGAACAAAAGCAGCGGCATGGTGGGTAGTATCACGCTCAACATATTTACTCGGACTTGGCTAATTCAAGATACTAGATAGCAACCTTACCAAGGCTTTACCGCCAACAGCTGCTAGAGCTTGCAATATTGTCGCCAGAATCCGCGACCGGGAGCTCCATCAGCTGTCTACTTCGTCTGGTTTAGATGATGCTCGCTTTCCCGAGGCCAAGTCCCTGGATTGGGATAGGGTGCAGAAGACAAAGCTCTGGAGAATCATCAAGGCAATGCCTAAAGGATCTTTGTTGCATGCTCCGTTACATGCCATGATCAATGCGGATTTTCTAATTGATGTGGCGTTCGCTACCCCGGGAATGTGTGTCTTTGCGACGCAGCCTTTACTATCCCAGGATGACTTGGATGAGAAGCTCTTCGCCTTTCAATACTCGTTAGCGGCGTCAAAAGACTTGGAAGACAGACCTACTGTGTGGTCGTCTGCGTACGAGCCCTCAAGTCCTATCACACTGAAAAAGGCGGCCTCTTCTTTTCCGTATGGGGGAGAGGATGGGTTTCGTGACTGGCTGCGAAGCCGATGTATCCCTCAAGCGGGGCGTGCGAATTATCATAGCCGTGCGATGCCGATTGTGAATTCTCTGCTCAGCTACGAGCCCATCCTGCGGGCATGCTTGCAACATGTATTTGCTCGGCTTGGGAGCGATGGGATTAAATACGCGGAGTTCAGGATGACTTTTACTTTCCCATATCGCAAGGAAGGGAAGGATATCCCCGAAGAAGGCCATAGCGATTGGTGCCACGTGTTTCAGGAAGAGCTTGCACGTTTCCAAGGGACGCAGGAAGGGCAAGGGTTTTACGGAGCGCGGATTATATGGACCTGTCCCCGCTCATTGTCAAAGCGAGACATTGTCGAGAACATGAAAGATTGCATCCTGGCAAAGTATGATTATCCCGATACGATTTGCGGATTTGATATGATAGTGGATAAGGATGATCAGCACTCGCTCACTGATCTGGTTCCCATACTATTCTGGTTCCGCAAAGAGTGTTCTGCAGAGGGCTTGGATATCTCATTCTGCTTCCATGCTGGCGAATCCCTGAGAAATGGGGGAGATCAAGGTTTGTTCGATGCTATTCTGTTGGGCGCGCGGAGGATATGCCAAGGGCTCTCGCTCAGCCAACATCCATTACTGATCGAGCTAATCAAGGAGAAAAAAATCCTGATTGAGTGCAGCCCGCTCTCAGATGAGATCCTTGGACTCACCGACAGTATTCAGACGCATCCTCTACCTGTCCTATTAGCTCGTGGTGTTCCTGTATCTCTTGGTATTAATGCGCCGGGCTTGCTCGGTGAACCAAACGACTTGACCCGACAGTACTGGCAAGCGCTTCAAGGGATTGACAGCATGGGTCTTACGGGCCTTGCAATGATGGTGGAGAACTCCATCCGGTGGAGCTGCTACCAAGACCAGCCCTCGGCGGAGTGGCAGTCCGATCTTCGGGAAGGGATCTTGGGGGAGGGGACGAAGGCTAGCCGTTTGCAGGAATGGTATGCAGAGTTTGAGAGATTTTGCCAGTGGGTTACAGAGGAATTTGCGGAGGAGGAAGGTGAAGAGCAAGACTGAACTGTTTCACATTCCACCCATAGTGTATCCGTCAACAGCCATTCCCCAAAAGTTGCATTAAACCTTCATAATGAAGGGGGTACGCTTAGTAATGACATAGCGGTATGCCGAGATGAATAAGCAGAACGTGCTTGTTATGCAAAGCAACAACGCTTGCAGCTTTTCAGGAGAACATTGCCTCATCGCAGGAGTCATTAGTTTGGCTGGTCGCAGGTAGAGTGGAATTAAATGTAGACTAGAGTAGAATATGATCAGCGTCCTGGTGAGCAGAGTCATGTCGGCTGCTACTTGCTGCATGATTCATTGAGTGGAGGTCAAACTCCAGAAGAGCGGATGATGGACTACTCCACGAGCCAGTGCGATAAGGTGGACAAAGGAGAGAGATTCTGCAGCACGATGACCGTTGATTTGTTTCTTCTTCATCTTCGATAACACCTTGATTATTATTTACTTTTTCTTCCACTCTCGTGGTAAATTTTGAGTTATTATTTTCCGTTTTTATCACCGTTAGGCCGAGGCTAAATAAACAGTGTCGAGAGAAGTCCACCAGACGCCGAACGAATCGCTCATTTGCCATGATTCGGCTGGCAGTTGCTTGCCCGGCATTTGCACTTCAGCCAGCTGTTCTGGATATTTTCCCGGAGCCGAGTGCTCATCCTCTGGTTGGCAATTCGTAACCCTCCATGAGGCGATAAGTTCGACGTAAGTGTGAGTTGTCATGGTGTGATTTGGGGAGGCCCGGCCCAAGCTCCGCCTGACTATTGCGGTTGATCTTCGCTATCTCTCCTCCTCCACTAGCGCCTACATCCCCGAACGTCATCCTTCCCTCCGGCACCTTCAGCAAACCCTCCGCATTTGTTCCCCCGACACACTTGTTGTGCTGGTGCCTGTCCCAGGAGCAAGGCATCTCTCAACTTCCCGATCGTCTCTTTCCTGTCCTTGTTGCCTTATTATGTTTTTTGCTCAGATGACAGCTGCCATCTTCAAATGAGCCCCCGCCGGCTCCTTTGCCCCCCCACAAAATGGCCTACTTCTTGCCGTCGTTCTTCCAAAAGCGATTGCTCCGATATGCGTTATCTCGTCTCGGCCTTGTCGATACAGAGGCCCTTGACCTGGACAGCCTGGGTATCCGCTGGGGACAGCGAAGTACCGTGGAACTACGAGATATTGGGTTGAGGCTGGATGTAAGTGCACTACTCGTGCCCCCGATGAGCCTAGCTAGCTTCCCTGGCTCTCAATCCGCTGCTGTTCCCCGCTGGGTTTTCGGACATCCGGCATGTGCTAATCAGAAAACTCTATATCGAAATAGAAATTAGCTACGCTTCTTCACCTTCCTCCTTCAAGTGAGCTCGTCAGCGCCCGGGTTCGTTTCCTGAAGATCACCGTCCCCGCGGATATCTACAGCAGCGGCATCATCTGCCAGGCCAGCGGCATCGACGTCCATCTGAGACTACTTTCCGACGACACTCGCCATGCTGGACAAGGCGACAGACCAACAGGGTCTGGCTCTGGCCATGACCCTGCCCCCGATCCGATCATCCCTAATCCGACCGACCTCGCTCAATCGTTCCTCCAGGCTGAACCAAAGGAGGAAAAGGAGGAACTGAAGGCTGCCATAACATCTCAATCTCAGGTCCTTCACCGTACACCCACATCAGCCAGTGATGATGAAGAGGAGCTTGGCTACGGCAATGAGGGCGTCTCCTTGCCGAGTTTCGTTGCTGCGTTCCTTAAAGGTGTCGCAGACCGTCTGCAGGTCCAGGTGGATGACATATCCATCCGAATCGACATGGAGACGAAGCAGGATGCACCACTAAAGAGGCAACCGGAAGATAAGCCTGACTTGGTCACGGGGTTACTGACTGTTGGACAAGTCAAGGTGGATGCTGTGTCTTCGCCATCGAGTGAGGATGAGACTTCCTCACGGAATCAGCGACGGTTGATCTCGTTGTCTGACATCAACGTCGCCTTAGTGTCGGAGCCTGTCGTTTTTTCTAATTACTCAAGGTTCACTGTCCCGATATCTCCAGAGATCACATCTCCGGAGAGTCCTTTGCAGCCAAAGCCGAGCCCTCCCCCGAGCCATGTTTCGTCCCCACCGTCTGAGCACGCGTCTGAAGAGGACACCACACTAGACTTGACAAGGTCGATACTCTTCGAGCCGTCTCGTGGACTATCAGAATCAAAGATAATAGAACAATATGCGCCCGAACATGCGCCCGAACATGCGCCCGAGATGGAAGGATCAGTGTGCACCTACGACGGCAGATTTTCTGACGCCGACACGGAGGAGGAAACCAGGAGTTATGGTTACATGGGAGAGTCGCAGAACCTACCGGTTGACGATGAGATACTGGACAACCCTGCGTATCTTGATTCTGTGATAGATTCGCATCTTCATGATGATGAGCTTGATGGCACTGATCATTTTTCACCGGAAGTCGGTCACCATATTTTGGGCAATGAAGATACCCCGCGCCTTCGAACACCAGAGTTGCACGCCGCCGGATCAGCATCACACTACAGTGATACACAGAATGCTATGATCCTTGCGCCCAGGTCACAGGTACCAGCTGTCACTAGCCTCGCACAGGATCACCTACAACATGCAGAAGCGGTTGACGTTCCTACTCGACCAGCCTTGCCCGCGATGGGGCTAGAGGTTACGCAAGATCCCCAGCCGTATGCCGATTCCCAAGCATCGCCTGTTACCTCTGTACCTCCTTCCGAAGCGAGTAGTTCAAGCTCAACATCTGGATCTTTCAACCAGGACGAGCTTTCCGAGTCAAGGCTCTTCTCTAACGAGGAGGCACAGAGTATGTACATGAGTGCCATAAGTCATGAGTCTATGTCAAGAAGCTTCATGCCAAATATTCCCGGTGCCTGGGATTCCCCGGAATCCACGGTAGTCAGGGACTCACATGCTCATGTGCACCATGGAAACGGGCCCGATGTACATCATATGGACCAGGACCATGATGATGATGAGACTGCTGCCACCCCTAAACTAACTCCGCAAGCAGGGTTGCATATCTCGCAGGAGTGCCTAATAGATGATTATTCTGAGGCACAACATGAGCTCACTGACAAAGAACGTTCTCAGGATTCATCAGGCCTGAACAAATTCTCTGACGTCGCAAGACGGTTCTTTAGCATCGACAAGGTCGTCATTTCCATACCTTCCGTGGATGAAGATGGCGACAGCGCAGATGACACCCCATCTGCGTCCTACACTGAAGAAGAAACTAGCGGTCTGGAGGAGACGACGGCATGCCTGCGTGATTCAGCAACTGAAGACTACTTTGTGCCTCCTGGCAGGAAGGCTTCTACACGAGCTCGCAGTGATACGATCAGACCAGCTTCATACGGGTACGAGGGCGCCGAAAAAGCTTCTTCTCGGCCTTCGCAGCATGATGGGCAGACACAGTCTAAACGGAGCTCTAACGACCTGGAGGTTGACATATACTCCGTGGAACTCCAATTCGACATCGCCATCGGCTGGCTCGTGCTCAAGGTTGGACACAAGATTCTTAATGCTTTCAGCAATGACAGCGAGGTCAACCAGGACACAAGTCAGCCGCAAGAGGAGCAGAAGCGACAGGCTATCAAGTTGGCTCTTCGCAATCTTTCCATCAAGTTTGTCGAGCATGTTCCAGGATACTCATACCCTGCCGAAACAGACAGTTCGCCATTCTTCGGTCTGTTACATAACGACATCTTGTTGCAGACATGTCTGTCGGGCCTTGAAGCTCAGCTTTCGATTGACAAAGACATTACGAAGCTCCATCTGAATATCAAAGGGTTTAGTCTCGGGTTCGCCTCTGAACACTTAATATCGTTCAGCGAAAATTTCAAAATGCGCGACTCCATTAGAGACGTCCTGTCAGCCGAGCAAGGGGATATCGATCTCTCTATCACAAAATCACCTGATTCCACCACTGTAAACCTCATGACACTTCCTTTACAGCTAAACTTAAATATCCAGCGACTGGAAGAGGCCATAGGTTGGTTTGGCGGGCTGAGCACGATATTGGAACTTGGCAACTCGATCTCATCGGCTTCATCTCCGAAGGGGCCGAAGAAGGAAGTCCCCAAACGTCCTCGTGGTGTGCACTTCGAAGAATTTCCTCCGCCGGCAGCGAGTGAACGAACAGGCTCGGCGCCCTTGAAGGTAAATGTCAGGATCGGAGGGCTTGCAGCAGATGTGGTCGGAGAGACCCACTATGTCAGGCTGAGGACAACCGCTGCCAAGATCGTTAGCAGGCCTAGTGGCGTAGCAGTGCAGATAGACAAGGCCAAATTTACCGGCCCCTTGCCTCTGGACGATTCTCGGGACGCTCCAGCCAAGATAAACCTGACCGATATCAGGGTTGAGTACCGATTTTCTCCGAAGGAAGAAGACTTGGACCGGCTACTTGGCTTAATCACTCCGTCCAAGGATAAGTACGACGAAGATGATGATATCATGCTAGATACGCTCTTCCGCCAGCGGAGGCAGGGTTCTGTACTCTGCGTTACGGTCTCTGGAGCACGGGTTGCAGTTTCTCGCACTACTGATCTCGACTCCATCTCCCAGCTGGCAGATGAATTGAGCCGACTGTCGAATGTCACAAAGTACCTGCCAGAGGATGACAGGCCTGGTGTGCTGACCCTTGCACTGATGCGTGAACTTGAGGTTCAGGTACATATAGGTGGGAAGGTGGGGGAAATGAGCGCTGTTCTTCGGAATACCGAACTAGCCTTTATAAGTCTGCCTTCACTCATTGCTGCGCAGCTGGGCTCTATATCGGTTGCTAGGAACAGGGACGAAGAGCTTGTGGGAGAAGCATCGGCCATCGGTCACAAATCCAGCCCAAGCCAGAGTCCACTTCCAGTTCTGATGGCGCGCTATATTGCTGACGAGATGGACCCCACGGTCAAAGTGAAGTTACACAACTTCCGCGCAGAATATACACTCCCATCTATCATCGCCTTCCTCGGACTCAGTGAGGATATGACTACTGGGGATGTGGCTGCCAACATGGCAAGCTCCTTGGCCAACCTCGCCGAGTTGCAGCCCCCACATCAGAACGTCCATCCGGAGAAAGAGGGCCGTTCTGACACCCCTCCAAAGCCTATCAAGTTGACAATTGACCTTCGGGACTGCGTGCTTGGTCTCAACCCACGCGGCACCGGTGCCAAAGGCCTCGTAGTTCTCACCAATGCCAAGTTTTCTGGTGCGATACATGATCCCGTGTCTTCTGATGCCACACTAGAGCTCCGGAAAGCGTCTCTCATGATCATAGATGATGTGGCAAATGTGGGATATGCGGACAATGTCCAAAGGAGAAGCTCAGCTCCTCCGCACAGCAATCAGGTGCAGTCTTTTATTGACCATGGCTTTGTGACGGTTTGCACAATCTCTTCAGCCACAGCTACGGTCAAGATAATGAAGCTGAGTGATGATGGGGCAAAGTCTCTGGATGTGGAGCTGAGGGATGATCTGCTGATTCTGGAGACTTGTGCCGACTCAACACAGACTCTCATAAGCCTAGTTAATGGGCTCCAGCCTCCTACTCCCCCAAGCGCAGCTGCGAAGTACCGTACAGAAGTACTGCCCATCCAGGATATGCTATCTTCTTTCACCGGAGATGCGTTCTTTACAGACATGCCGGAGCCACCCGAAACGACGGAGCCTGTTGATCAGGATCAGGGAGAGGGACACCTTGAAGATGAGCGTGATTATGTCAGTGACTTTAAACATGTCAGCGCGGTCCCCGAACATGGATCTTTGACAGAGGGTATGATGGCGGGTTCGAACGAACTACTAGACAGCTTCCACTCGCAGTACTATGTGTCATCGAGTATTTCCGAGCTGGACTTCCGAGAGGATCACTTTGCCCAAAAGTCTGCTGTTGGCGGTACAGCGCACCGCTGGGATTCTACTCAAAACACTTACGGACTCTCGGACGACTCCAAGCTTCAGAAGAGCCCGCTGAGGATCAGAGTCCGCGATGCACACGTGATCTGGAACTTATTCGATGGATACGACTGGCAGCGGACTAGGGATACTATATCGAAGGCTGTGAAGGACGTGGAGCGGAAAGCCATTGAACGACGTGCGCGTGCTGGCAGCCGAGCATCCCCCAGCTTTGACGAGGAAGAAGAGTCTGTGATCGGTGACTGCTTGTTCAACTCGATCTATATCGGTGTCCCTGCTAATAAGGATCCCCGCGACATCCGCAATGACATCAATCGCAACATCGACGACCTCGCGAGTGAAACGGGAAGCTACGCGACTACGACGACTGTCACAGGGGCCACGGTCCGGCAAAGCCAGTCGCCCTCCGTCCGTGGGAAGAAGCTGCGCTTGTCTCGAAGCAAGTACCATAAGATGACATTTGAACTCAAAGGGATATGTGCGGACCTGGTCGTATTCCCACCCGACTCCGGGGAAACGCAGAGCTCATTAGATGTTCGCATCAAAGACCTGGAGGTGTTTGATCATGTGCCTACTTCTACGTGGAAGAAATTCGCAACATATATGCACGAAGCGGGAGAGAAGGAGAGTGGGACAAGCATGATTCACCTGGAGATTTTGACTGTGAGACCGGTACCTCAGCTTGCAGCAACCGAAATCGTGCTTAAGGCGACCATCCTCCCTCTGCGGTTACATGTCGATCAAGACGCTTTGGATTTTATTTGCCGCTTCTTCGAATTCCGTGATGATTCAGCACCGACTCCAACCGCTCCGAGCGATGTCCCCTTTCTACAACGAGTTGAGGTGAATGCCGTTCCTGTCAGACTTGATTTCAAGCCTAAGCGAGTCGACTACGCGGGACTCAGATCTGGTCGGACGACCGAGTTCATGAATTTCTTCATACTGGATGCAGCTGACATGACCATGCGACACGTCATTATCTACGGGGTGTCGGGCTTTGACAAGCTTGGACAAACGCTTAACGACATCTGGATGCCAGATATCAAGAGGAACCAGCTGCCAGGCGTGCTGGCTGGACTTGCTCCGATCCGGTCTCTCGTTAACGTGGGCGGAGGGGTGAAGGATCTCGTGGCGGTGCCTGTGCGCGAGTACCGCAAAGACGGTCGCCTTGTACGGAGCATCCAAAAAGGCGCATTATCCTTCGCGAAGACCACTTCGAACGAGCTCGTCAAGCTGGGTGCCAAGCTTGCTATTGGAACACAGACGGTCCTCCAAGGCGCCGAAGATATTCTCACTACCCCTAATGCGTCGGGAGCTGGCGTAGAAGACGAGTACGCTGACGATGAAGAGGCGAAGAAAATCTCCCTGTACGCCGATCAACCCGTAGGGGTGGTCCAAGGTCTTCGCGGCGCATTCCGGGGGCTGGAGCGCGATCTGCTTTTGACACGGGATGCCATAGTCGCGGTGCCTGGCGAAGTCATGGAGAGCGGAAGCGCCAAGGCTGCTGCAAAGGCTGTCTGGAAGCGTGCTCCGACTGTGGTTCTTCGGCCTGCCATTGGTGTATCCAAGGCCGTGGGGCAGACGCTGCTGGGGGCTGGGAACTCACTGGATCCTAGTAACCGGCGAAAGATGGAAGATGTAAGTCAATACCATCAGCAGCTGACAGTTTACTCACATGCTTGCAGAAATATAAACGCCATTAACGGTTTCGTCGCTGCATCGTTGGCAGTGCTTCCGCGAGTTCTTCTGGGATGGTTTGGTGCATAATTGATTGGGACATCTACCGGAGCAGGTCACACATTCACCTGCGGGCAGGTTCGGTTACCTGGGACTAATTTTATGATGACTATGACGGATGATTCTTTGCTTAGCACTACTACCCCTTGAGTTTTTCTTGATACAATGATGGCTTCTTAAGCATGATTGGTGTTGGATTGATATTGATATTTTTGGGGATGTTTATGATTAAGATTGGTATTAGTTATTGAGGCAGGTAGACTGGATGTGAAATATGAATGCTAGATTATGCAGTGTATATTCGATTCTAGGTTGTACAGAGTGTAGTGTCTGTTTAGGTGTAGAATTTAATTGCTATCAGCAGCAACTAGTGTGCAGCAGAAAAGTAGATAGTAGTCGATGAGATCAAAGTGGAACATCACTTCCTAACACTACTCAAATCCCGAACCCGAATCCGAATTCGAACCAAGCCAATCAATCATGTTGGCAGATATAGAGAAGATCTTAGCGCGTGATTAGCAAAGTGCTCAGCCACAACTGGGGATCTACTTGCTGACCTACCTGCATACCTGAATAGGAGGGTACGACTAGGTTCGAAGAGTATGCTAAGATAGTACTAGCAAATGGTTATTCATCTATGATGACACGAGCTTGCTGTAGATCAGTCAATGCCTTGCTTGCTTCCTTACTATATTTCAAACTGATGTCTCCTCACTGTTCCCAGATTTTACACCGTATGCGAATGATGAGTCTCCCAGAAATCATCCGACACCTATGACAACCCACTGCTCTGGCTCGGCCAGTGTCTTGGTTCTCAGGATTAGCTACTTTAAATATGGGGAAGGTACTACGGTGAACTCAGGTGTGCCATTTAATGCCAGACGTACGCGAGCGATCTCACACATTGACTCGGCATTATTATAAGACATAGTGAAGAAATCATACTCTCACATAAAAATAAAAAAAAAGGCAAGCAAACAAAAGAGCCATAAAATAGCAAAAACATACAACAGAAGGGATTCGCTGGTGGTCACCCACCCAACTACTAACCTCCCGGCGTGTGGCTTAAGTACGGCTGAGCGGACGGGAAGCCCTGTTTTCCACACCCTGTGGTCGTATGTACCAGTTCTTTTGCTGATTAGCTACCTCTACCAGCTATTATATACGTGAAATAAGTAATTGCAGTCTTGCACTGAATTGTGGAAGATCATCCGATGGACCCTCTACACCCGATATGAAGATAATTCAGCCTCAAAGTAGATACCATCAAAGAGAACTAAATAATAATAGTCAATGCAATCTTTAACAAAAACCACAACATAGCCATCTGATCAATCATCGACTACAAATCTCCGACTTTGTATCCGAGACCCACAAACTCACATCAAGACATAATCAGCCAACCGACCAAAAAAAAGGGAAAAAAAAAGACATCAAACAGATGAACTATAAACCTTCCCCTCCTGATGGTCCAAAACACGCAAAATCAACAATATCCTTCCCACCACCCCCCTGATTCACCCTAGCATTTGAATACGCCCTACATAGCCGATTATCTCCAGGAGAAGACCGCCGAAGAGACCGGTGAGGTAGCCCCAGGTGCGATAGCGGATTCCGAGGATGAGTTGGGCGATGAGGAGGACGGCGAAGACGGCTGCGTAGAAGATGTTGCCGGCGAGGGAGGGGACGTAGTTGACGTAGGCGTCGGAGAGAGGGCAGGTGGAGAGGGTGCAGTAGTCGGAGGGGTCGAGGACTGTGGTGTTTGTGGTGGTTGTGTTGGTCATATCTGCTTGTATAGTAAGTATATCATGTATAGTATAGTGAGTTATGGGTGAGAAACAAATTAAAGTCAATAGAAGATGGAGATGAAGATGATATATGGTGTACAGCTGGCTCCCCATCTTTCTCATATACAGCAACACATTATATATTCTAAGGACGATCCAAAAATATCCCATCCTTTATCAACCCCTCTTGATAAGCCTCATTGAAATAAGCGAGGCCCCCCAGTATACCCCCCAATCCTTCCACCATGGCCCTGTGCCTCAGATCAGCTCAGTTCCAAGTACCATGGGTCACTGGTAAGCAACGCCCAACGTTGCTTACCCAATCTTGGCACATCTCGGAATGAACCGAGAGGTATCGGAGAGGAACAGTAAAAGCCACGATGGATGAGCTTCAATCAAGCACCGCCTCGTTGCCAAGAGAGGGATTCATATAGTAGTTAGTTTATATAGGAATAGGGTTGGGTGGATGAAGGACACGGACCCGGACGGACACGGATACGGACTTTTATAGTGAGATGGGATGGATACGGCCCCAAACGGACACGGAGAATGTGTACCCACTTCTCGTGAAGCTGCTATTTCTGTTAGGGTTGAACTAGATATAGAGTGAGGCTGTCTTGAGACTGTGATTAGGGACAGCCGTTGAGAGGCTTATTCGATCCTTTGGTCATTGAGTGTGATCAGAGGATCAGTGATTAAGGTTGGGGCAGTGGGATGATGAATTGTAGATATGTCTAGATGTTGCTGGCCAATTTCTCATGATCTTCTACTCTTGTTCAAGTCACTTTTCAGTGTGTTGTGACCCGTCTCTTCACCTCGCATCATCTGCACAATGACTCCCCGCTCAACACTCAAGACCATTCGCAATCATATCCTGCACCAAGCTGCACGCTGCCACGCTTCTCTTCCACACTTTTCCCTAGCACCCAGACTCCAGACCATAGTCACCAAGGCCCGCCAGGGTCCCTTTGTCTGCTGTCTCAGCTTCTATCTCCTCTCGACTTGTCTCTCATGGCTCATCTCAACATTAAAATTCTCCTCTCAATTACACGCCCACACCCTCTCTTCTGACATCCTTTACGCATATGAAACCCCGCCCTCGGCAATCACCACAAAACCATACCAATGGGCACCTCCACCATCATGACCTCTTAATACCACTCCCTCATCCATTCCTCCCATCATCCACCGCATATGGCGCGGTGACCTCACCAAGCCCATCCCCGAAGAATACATCAATGCCAGCTCCTCCTGCCACGTCCAGAACCCCGCATACGAGCAATACATCTGGACAGACACCACAGCCCGTCAGTTCATCGAAGCATACTTTCCCTGGTTTGCACCCATATACAACGACCATCTTCTTCCCATGCAGCGCGTCGACGTGCTCCGGTACTTCCTCCTCTGGTATTACGGGGGTGTGTACCTAGACCTTGAAATCGGGTGCCAGTGGCCATTTGCTTCCTTGTTAATGGGTGCAGAGCAAGAGGGCAAGGTGCTGCTGCCTCAGCACTGGCCGTACGGAGTCGGGAATGAGTTCATCGCGAGTAAGCCGAACCATCCGTTTGTGATCAAGGTGGCGTTGAGTGTACATGAGCATCGATGGGGATTTGTGCCGGCGTATGCCATGGCTTTTGTGAGTGCTGGGGCGGTGTTGGTGAGTCGGGTGCTGGGAGTGTGGTTGTCTGCTGTTGGGGGTGGAGTAGGCATTGTGCCCGAGGACATGTTCGAAAGGACTGAAGAGGCAGTCTTTATGACGTTTGTCGGAGAAAGGCCACGCGGTGATGAGGTTGCAGTGTCGGAGTGGTTCTTTGGGAATCGGATGGGTTGGTGTGCGGCTGGGATTGCGCTTGGGGTGATGGGGTTGGTGGTGTTCGGGGTGAGGAGGGAGCCGAGGAAGCGGGGGTATACTCAGGTGTAGATAGCTATTGATGAAATTGGACTGTATTGAATAAAGCATTAATGGGATTGCTCTCGTCTTGACTGAGATAGATGGCAGCGATTTCCATCGCTCAGCGCAAGCGCTGCTCAGACGCCTTCGTGTACTCCATCCAGTCAACGAGTATCTCATCAATTGTTGCGTCGGGAAAGAAGCCCGGCCATTGCATATCATACACTTCACGGGGTATCATTGTATAATCATTTAATCCATCCAGTGGCAGCTGCGCGGATTCAAGGTGATCGTTCTCAGCTCCGGATGGGCTCATGTTACTAGGTTGTACTGGAGGCTGAAAGGAATCACTCTTTTGTCTTGATAACATCCGATTTTCAAACCACCACTGAACTCGCTTCAGACGCTGTTCATAGTGATAGAACACATCTCGGTCACCGGAGGCATCCATACTAGACGTAATCAGTGCCTGCATGCGAAGGATGCACCGACTAAGCATGCTGGATATGTCTAGTGCACGGCACAACTCCGCCGTGTGAGGCTGTATCGAAGGCTCCGACGCTGCCACAACAAGTTTGCTGGCAAGAGTCAGCGCGAAGCCAATCTGAATCCATACGGCGTTGTTGAACGCCATTTCACTGCGCAACGGGAGGCAGACGTAGTAGTCAAGTAGAGCTTTGGCCGCAACGAGACCCATCCGGAGAGCCTCGATCTGAAATGAAACTTCACGTCTTGGGCTCTGTGTACTCGGCTTATTATCGAACAAACTGATCTGGCAAAGATACAGTTCGGCCGTATAGTATTGCATGAAAAGGATATCTGTGTCATCAGTATCATGATGAAGTCCATCATAAGCTGCTTACTTACTGTTCTCATGCAACGGACACGGTAGACTAGCCCGATATTGCTCCAGCTCTAGTTTCATCTCACGAAAAGAACGCTCACTGCTTGAGCCAGGACCGTGGGTCCCTAGAATGTTCTGTGCTGAGATAGAAGTGATCTTCTCCGATAGCCGTTGAAGCTGTACTATATGAAGTAGGTGCTGGTCGGAGGCATACTCGGCATCTGTGGCCAGGAGCTTGCAACATTCATTAAAATAAGGCATGTACGAAAAGGTGCATTGCTTGTGTAGGATTTGCGAAACGCTTCGAGACGTTAACTCCAGTACTAATCGTGTAGAAGCTATCCTTACCTCGATGAAAAATAGAAAATTCCGAGAACGGCCCGTCTCTCATCATGCCCCCAAGACACCGACTCTTTGTGTTCTTCCGGATTAAAGTTCACTCGAGTCCTCCAGAGCCGATATTCAGGCGCGCGATCCAATTGCAGGTCCGTGATAATGCTGATCGCAAGATGCAGATATTGCGAGAACCGGCGTGGCCGTGAATGATATTGACACCTAGACCTGTCAGTTCGGCATACAAACATAGACTATCAGGCGTACCATGCAATGTGGACTAGCAGCCCTTGCAGCACTTCGAATGAGACTGGTCCATCAAAGATCATGCAGTCGCTAACCTTCTTCTTCACCTCTTTTTCGAGCATACGCTGCAGAGGCATGTTGTCATACAGAGTAGCCGTCAAGATGGTAAGGAAAAGAAACGGCTTGTCTTTCCTGAGGCTCTCAGCAGAGGTCTGTGGTGGGATGACTACAAATGGACAATGAGGCATAAGCGTCGCGCGGAATTCATTCAGCAGCATATTGGCGGCATCCACGGTAAGCAAGCCTTTGTCAATGGCATCTTTGGACTGTGATGCAGTCCTTGCAGGACTTTCATCAGTTGTGCTGCTATTTCTCTAGAATACGGTTAATCTCTCTGCCTAGCAAATGGAGGGTGTTGTACGCACGGGGATTGGGGATACCGACGTCGCTAGCAACTGGTCGACTTTGGTTTCGAGTAGTTCGATCCTCCTTTCACGAGATGAGCAGACAAACTACATGATCCGTGGTTCGCAACTCACTTGTCCTTGCTATCTCTCTTGATCCCTCCATTTGTGCTTCGAGACTCTGGGAAATGACACTCTTTCCCTAGGCGTTCGCATCTAGACCTAGTAAGCCAACCAAACAATCAGCTCACTCAGACAAGCTCACCGATCGCAGCTCCCGGTAGCCCCGTGGCGGATACACCGTATCTTGGCTCTGGCACAATTCTGACATGTCCTTACTGAGCCGTTAGAATACCGGCCCCTGGGACGGGAAAGCTCAGATTGGATCAAGTGAGCCATCACAGATGGAGATTTCCGCGTCAGCGCTGCATTCGATAGATCCGACGGTCAACCGGTGGTCTTGAAAGCCTGCAGGGAGTCGAGCGATCCATTCGAGTTCCGTGCGCAGACCGAGCGAGATGACAAGGGGAGCTGGATGGAATGGGACCCTGTAGACCCCAGCCATGGAGATTAAAGCAGATTAGCCCGAGTCCACCGAGGCGAAGCGAAGCTGGCAGATGCGGGGCGGAGTTTGTACCCGCCAGCCACACTAATGCCGCCCGATCACGTCCACTGCCTCTTGGCGCGTCAGCTCCCTTCCTCTCTGCTGTAAGTACCGGTTTGCATTTAGTTAGAGCACTTTGCCTGAGCTTTCTTTAGAAACTACGAAGTATAATCAATCTGAGACGACTGGGTGTCGCGTTCAGACTCCGAGGCCGTGCGATGTACCGAATCCGTGATGCTTCCTTCCATGGTTCCTCGCCGATATATACTCTCTACCAAGTGGGTCCAGTGCCAGTGCACCAGCGCATTTAGAACCGTAAGTACGAATTGGCTTCTTTGTCTGAGCTGTTGCTCGTGTTGGGAACCACCATCCAATCATCGAAGCTAACCTGAGCGAAGAATGACGCTTCCATTTGATTGAAGCTATCGCGCATGGATATGCTCGGAACTGTCTACTGCTGTTCGTGCCTGTTCCTCGGCCGGCGGCATGGACAGGGCACCAATCAGTGACGGAGTTATCGCGAGAAATCCTGTTCCTAGATGCTCTCGGCAATGCTCATGTAAAAGGGGATGTAGCTCAAGGTTCCGGGATGATGGTTCTCTCCAGGCCACTAATCATCTGCAAGCCCGGCTATGGCTTGCTTTCTATACATGATTCAATATCGAAAGAGGAAATAAGTGCGCATAGTTAGCCTTACTTAGTTTACTAGCAGTCACGATACAGTCCCTAGCCCACTGCGCTATTGAGCCGCGGAGATGACTTGGCGAGCGAATGGCTAGACTAACTCACCGTTCACTCTACTATGTACGGAGTAGCTACTGACTTATGCATGACAGCCTTCGGGGTGACTATATGAGTACAGGCGCATCAGACGACAGGATAAACTTCCCCGGGCATGCTATAGTTAATCGCCGCTTTCAACAGTCAAATAAATCTAGGGGCCAAATTGCATGAGGTCATCTGGAGCTCATAGATCAGCTTTCGATATACCCGGAGGAATCTAGACTGCGAGAACGCGAAGACGACTCCAAGTCTAGATCCAGTCTGGCGACAAGGCAAAGGTGATGCGGTTCGTATCTGCTGCCCAACTCATGGCACAATCCATCCATGGGTCTGGAGTATGGCTCGGAGTAGACTTTGTAGGAGACATAGATGTGATGGCAATATCAGTATCACCGAGAAGAATCCCACTTGCCGTAGAGTCCATGCCGACAGGATTGGTTCGGTATTCCTTTCGGAATACCACAACTGGTGACATGAAAGCTAGCTTCTCCAAATCTGATGAAGGACGAGGTGTTTAGAGATGCTGATGCATCATTGGGGGTTTATCCTGTGACGCTGTAAATTGTACAGCCAATTATAGAGTTCGAATGCAACTACCCACCAGTCAATGGCTCGACGACTCAACAATATTACTTACTAAGGAGGTAGTCACACAGTGATGGCTCCGTCTAGGCCTTGGGAGCAACGTCTTCTGCACTGCGTCGTAATCTGGGGTCTACGGGAATGTTCCACCAAATTGCCTGGCATTCTACTAAGGAGATCACGAGATAGGTACGAAGCTCCTGAGACACGATAAGGCGTACCGCAGCTTCAGGGTGCTTTGTGAAACATTGGCAGGTACAGGGCTCTCTACAAGGACGATCTTGGTGACGTTTCCACTCTTGCAGTATCGGTCAACGTAGTTCAATGGAGAGTGGTTTCCTCTCGTGGCTTATGAGATGGCGGTCTTGGCTTCGTTGGTGAGAGAATGCCACGCTACAATCGGTTGGCCGAACGGAGAAAATCCGCCCTCGATGCTAAATTAATACCCTGGCACCGATGTTTGTGAAATGGGAATCCCTCGATGATCCTGGGGTTGACCCTAATTAATTTATCGAGTTGTTTGCAGCAACCCAAGCAACCTTAAAAGGACTGTGCTATCGAATGGCGATAGAAGTCAGCAGGTGTTGGGAACGAGACAGAGTCTTGAACGGGAACACAGTTGGTTAGTAGTAAAGTTCGGCGGAGTGGATCAGAAACCGTCAGCCTCATTGAATTGAGAGGGAACCATCGTAGCCACATATGATGTATGGAAAACTCAAATGGTGGACGGATTGGACGTATAGCATGGCTCGGTTCATTAAGGGTGGTGAGGTGAGGATGCCTAGTGTGACTGGACACATGAACTACAGAGAGGAGCAGAGTGGAAGGAATGAATGGGCGAAGCAGGCAAATATAGAAGCGGACTGACTTGAATGCGCCCGAGTTTTGAAACAGCTGAGTTGACCACGTTGATTGGCCGCCGGGACGATGATCGGGGAAAAGGCTGCGGACGAATGGGTGGCCCGGATGGCATATCTCAAACCACCGGGATGGGAAAGGGTTGAAACAGGATCTTCATGGAATGTAGATTGGTTGACTAGTGGTTACTCGGGAAGGGGGAGTGCTGAGGTCATTCGGAAGGATCATGTCTCGACAAGGAGGCAAGGGGAGAGATGAAGGAGGCAGAGAACGAGTAAGTCAAGGAGAGAGAAAAACAGAAAAAAAAGAAGGGAGAAAGACTGTAAGATGGGGATGTGCAAGTTGGAAGTGGATGATGACTCTCTCTCGGTCGGAGTTGTCCCGTCCAAGAGGGATGGATGGATGGATGGATGGATGCTTTTGGATACTTTTGATTTTCTGGTTCTCACACCCACCCGTCCATCCCAATCCATCCACACAAACCCACTCTCTCTTCTCTCTGGTGTCCTTCTCCTACATGATTTTACAACGGTAGAACAATAGAGTGGTAAGTACCACCGTCGTACTTTGCAGGGAGGGGATGGGGCAGTGGATCCCCTCCCACACAGTCAGAAATACTACTAGCCACGCAGTTGATGCCCAAGTGGGCTGGACTAGTCATGTTTTCGAGACTGAAAACGGAGCCATGGCCTTGATTGGCTGTGATGCACGTCAACTGCAGCTTGACCTGGCAGTCAAGTGACGCTGCTGTGCTTTTAGTTGTGTTTTCTGTCTGTCTGTCTGTTCTTTCATCAGCCCATGGCCGAGTCTGTCTGTCTGTCGGTCGGTCGGTCTTGTTCAAAGGGTCTTCGTTATTACTGTCGACCTACTTACCTTACCCACTTACCCTACTTACCATTTTCTTTCGCACGGCCATACTCAGATTGCCGGGTGCGATCAAGTAACTACCCCTACTACTACTTAACTTACTTCCTACTATACTTTCATTGTATTGTGTTACATCTCCTGCTTACTACTTCTTACTATTACTCCTTCCTACCTACTTCTACTCTATACTTCTTACCCAATCCAGTCAATTGAGACACCCCTGTCTCGCTTTCATTTATTTCCCCTTTGCTCTGCCGTCACATCAACGTGCAGGAAATATGCTAATAGCACCGTTGCCCTGCTACTACACATGACAAAAACACCCGGTGCTGGTGTTCAAAAATTTAATTAATTCCCCCCCCAAAAATACACCAACAAATAAAACAATCCAATTGTGCTCAATGCAACCTCGCAAAATCCCCGGGTGGTCCTCTTTCTCGTTTCATTCTTAACCCTCATCCGCTGGATCTCAGGTACTACTACTTTCCACCTTCTCCTTTAAGCATCAGACAACCGGGTTCGGCGATGCCTGGCGTGGCCATAACCATGGATGTCTGGTCTTCGGGCCATGGATCTATACACCAACAAGCCGCTATGAACTCAATCTCGACATCATCAATTCCCCCCAGTCTCGACCCTGACCCTCTACAGTTATCTACCACGAGTCCGGCCATGTGCCAGCCCGCATTTCCAGGAACATTGTCCCTCCACCACTATCGCAAACAACTCTCCGACAGCGACGCCTTTGCCTTTGACAGTCCAGAGGGACATATATTAAAGCGTAAAAACGCTGCTATACACCTCAATCAGACCCCGATGTATCCGCATCATTCCGCGCATCCGTTCTCCGTGTCGTCCGCGGCATCGAGTCCTCCCCCGTTGTCCCCGTCGTACTCGCCGAGCGCGATGAGTGAGCAGGGGCCAGAGAGCCTCCGGGGGTTTGCTTGTGAGTGACTATGGTTTCGCATGCGAAAGTGTCATGATGGATCAGAATGCTAACAATTATTCCAGTGTCGCCAAATGTAGAATTACATTCGTCGGACAGCCCGATATACTCTAGATCGAACCCCCATAGACTACTGGTAGGTGGTACCCCCGCAACAATTACTTATATCCTATTCACATAGGTATATAGGACACATTTCGTGACAGATTGGAGAAATACCCGGATTCAAATCCAGACCAGGAAGGGTCCTTTCATAAGCACACCCGGACCCGCTCGGACTCAATCCTATTCAACATGAAAAATCGGACTGCAACCGTTATTGATCATGGCACATCATTCGAAATCGTCAATCCTCATGAATCCCTCAACTTTGCTCGAATAGTCTCGTTTATCGAGGATGTCGACGCTTATTCAGCTCGCGACTCGACCGGCCATTACCGGGAATCTTACATAGAGACGACTGAAGAGCGGCTGACGATATCTGAAGAAGATTACCTTCGGGCCATTGCACCATTGAGCCCAGCGCCAGAAGAAGATGAACAGAAAGTCCACGAAGAGCTCGTGGGCGATACTCCGCACCAGCCCATACCATCCATCTCCGAGCGCCTACAGAACAAGGACTCCGAAGACATGGAATCACGATACTCACGATCTCCAAACTACACACAACGTCGGCCACCACCTTTGCGACCGAGGGCTTGGACCGATGAAAGCGATCTGGGGGAGCCGGGCTCCCCCATCCACGAAGACGGTGATTACCCGTCGCCAATGTCATATGCACGTCCATCGACGGCTCCGTTTCCAAGCGACGGACAAATGTACCCAGCATCGCCAGTCTCCCCTCTAGCAGGGTACTACGACATGAACCTCTGGCAAGGAGGTTCCCCCATCCAAGACAGACCCGGCATACCCCATCCGCTATACTCGAACCCTCCATCCCCCTACGCCAGCCCATCACCGTTCCCCTCGCCGCACCAGGCGCAGAAAATCCACATCCACCACAACATATCCAAACGCTCGCTCGAGAAACGCAAAAAGAACAACAAGGCCAATGCGGGGCCACTAAACCCCTTTAAACGGCTATACAGCATGTTTCGAAAGAAACGGCAGTAACCCGTCGGAAAACCACCCGCTTCTGCAGCAACACTCATTACGATACCCTCACCGCTCCTTCAGCTCCTCTGTCTTTTTCTGATTTATTGCCCCCGCAGTAACTTCAGCTCTACTTGATACTTTCGGCTCCGCCACTTTCTCTCTTGTATGCCGCGGATCTGCTGCTCGCCTGCTTACCTGCCGTCTGGTCTGCATGTGCATATGCAGCATCCGTACATGCAGATATGCAGCCATGATTTCCTCAATTGCCCCATTTTACTGTTTGACCGACTAATTGACTGATTGATTGATCGCTACTTTATGAGCCACACGTACCCGTCCCGCCTACCCTCCCCATTGCTCTCCACTGTGGTTTTCCATCTCGGGGATGTTTTCCTTTGACAGGAATCCCGCGGGACTAAAGCTATACTTTTCCATTGTTGATATTGAAGACGACTGGGTTCCATGATGCAATGCAAATAGATCTCTTTCTTGTCTTGTCTTGTCCCTTTTCCTTTATTTTTTATTTGTTATCGTGAACCGTTGCAAGCCTATATTCTGCTATGCTTCATCATGCTATATATGCTTCTATTGTATCACCTATGGTTTACCTGGTTTACCACTACTACTAAGACTGGAAATATAACGGGCTGAGAGATGCAAGCCGAATCCAAATCCGATCCGATGGAACATGAATCGTGGATGTGATGAACAATAGTAGAACACCGGTAATGGTAACTGTAAGGGTAATGGGTAAAGGGGGAAAGAAGTATATATTTACAGTGTAAATGTGAACTAATACATGACAGATATTGGGTACAGCACACGACGATGGAAGGGATCAAAACAGAACAGACAAGTAGTAAGACAGACAAGTAACCGGGTACACAATCTGGGTATCTTTCCTTCTCAATGCGCATACAAAAAGCCCGAACCCTGAGAGATGACGATAGATCCAACAAAACAGATAACAGATATATCATCAAAAGTATGAGAGAATACAAGGATAGGAAGAAGAGAAATGAAGTGAAATGTGGAAAGACAAGAAGAAATGAAGAAAGAGAATAGCAATTACTCCTCTGGCCCCTGCTCCACCATAGACGCCAACGCCGCACTCACAAGGCTCTTCCGTCTCAAGCCCTGCTCGTTCTTCTTGTGCATATCGCGCGACGAGCAGTGATAGCTCTTCTCAATGCGATGTGACGACGCCAACGCACTGACGCTGCTCTTCCGACGTGCCCGGGTCTCCGGACCAGCTGATTCCGCTGACGCGGCTGAAGAAGCCTGGCCACGGAACCGATTCCGCGACAAAGTCAGGGCACGTCTCCGCGGCGAAGTCTGCGGCGGTAGCGAACTGGGGTGATAGTCCTCTTCACAGATGGAGTCCCTGCATATGGCCGAACGCATGATCTCGTCATCGGACACCAGAGCAAGACGAATCGCCTCCACGTCAGACTGGTTGCATTGTAGACGGGAGATTTGCTGTCTTTGGGCCCGGACGGTCCAGGCGTCTGACGATGGAGCGGCTGTAGTGGCGTTGCCGTTCAGATCGATGTTGTCGGCTGCGGGGAAGTCTGCGGGCACGGAGGTAGGGCTCAGGAACGGCGAGCAGGATTGCGGAGAGAGGGAACCCGAAGTCAGGGACTCGTCATCGTGATCTGTGTCTGGCGGGGTGAGGACGTAGCCGGGGAACTTGGACGAGATGCCCAGATCCGATGGAGTTGGAGAGGCCGGGCGATCGAAGCGACCGGCTTCTTCGGGCTGCAGGCCGTTCGGGTTTTGAAGGGTGTGCTCGTGAAGTTTCCGCGTCAGAGTGCTGATAGAGAGCCGCTTGTGATCGTAGGCAGAGAAAGGCACGGAGGTGGGTGGCTGCTGTGCGGAGCGGAAATATGAGGAGCGAGAGCGAGACGCGGTCCGGGGGAAGCGATGGGAGCGCGGAGAGGGACAGCGCGACGACATGGGAGAGATGAGGGAACTGTCGCTGTCGACCATGAGGCGGTCATCGCCATCGAGCGCCAGGCGCGAGGGCCTGGTAGACGACGGAGACGAGAAGGAGAAGTCCTCGAACATGGTGACGGAGTCTCTTGTCTCGGGGTTGGGAGTCGAGACGGATTGGAGGATCCAGATGACCTTTTTAACAATATCTGGCGAGAGTGCGAGAGAACCCTGTGAGGCCTGTGTTATCCGGACCAGATGGATGGGATGGAGATGGTGGTCGACGGATAGGCTATCTGGACATCAGGGGAGCCCTGGTAGGAGGGAGGGGGAGGGAAGAGAGAGGGCGCGTTCCCGAGTTGCAATATAAGGCGAAATCGCACAGTGGCCAATTCTCGTATCGGGTGGGTTCAAAAAGGGACACGGGGTCTAGTCTGGTAGACGGAAAGGGCTAAAAAAGGGAAACGAAAATTAGAAATAATATTTCACAAAAGAAATAGGAAAAGCAGGGAACGGATTAGGCACGTCGAGTGACGGTCGAACCTTGGGATGAATCTAGACGGACGCCGTGGGGAAGCGCCGCAGGGAATCAATCAACGGCGACGGTTGGGGTGTGTGGATCAAGTAGTAGTAGGGAAAAGGAGAAAGGGGAGAGAGAGAGAGTTGAAGGGAGGAAGAAAGTGAAAAGAAGTAGGGAACCACCGACTGGGGCATGATTCCAGGCCATGTTAAGAAGAAAGGAGTAATGTAGGCCCCCTTTTCATTAATCACCATATTATTGTTGCTATTGCTTTTCTCGCCATGGCTGGAGGAAGTGGCAGTTTGTATTCCGTGCACTTTTGGGCCAAAGAAGTTAACTAGAAGAATGAAAGAACTCAAAGAAGTGAATAATAATTAAATTCTTTGCTGCCCTTCTAGAATTCCAGTTTTAGTCTAATCCCTCTTCGGCTCTAGCCGGCCGTGACTCAGCCAGTCCGGCGTCTCTTCGGGCTTCTCCTCCTTGTTTCTTCTCTTCTCCCCTCCCCTCAATCCCTTCATCTACAAAAAATAAAAAGTAATCTCTCCTACGGCTGCTTCTTCCATCTGTCATCCATTTGTCATTCCATCCTTGATTGGTGATTGCTAAACTGTGGCTTGCATTACTCACTTTTCTGCAGTATGGTACACATGAACAACACGCCCTCCCAAGAGGCAAGATGGCAAACACACCCGGGCGGGAATCGCCACCAACCAAGTTCACCATCCACTGGCAAATCCACTTCTCTAAACCTGGATAGGCTCTAGGGGCTCCCGGTTTGATTCCACCGACCCATCTACAAGTGGTCCCCCTCCAAGAGTCTCCGGCGTTCTCGCCACCCAGGCCGGTTAAACTTTCCACCAACTCGGAATCTTCACATTTTTGTCCTGCCAACCTGCCAACTCTATCTAATCAGCCTCGGTGAACTAGCCGCCGTTGTACGTTGTCGCTAACCACCGTTACTATCGACACAGTCGCAAGCCTGTTGTGGATGAGACCGTGCCATGGTTACTATTATAATGACTGTCCTTGAGGGACTGTTTAAGCTCTCCCTTGACAATCTGGTTCCTTGATCGTGAACCATGCCCGTAATTGATATTTGTCGATCTATACCGGACTTTCTCCCCACAGTCATTATATTATACCCCAACAATGCCCCGGAATTGAAGATATGGCTCTCAGGTAATACAGCAAATACGGTGTCCAGTCTCAATCACAGAATGACACCATGTGGGAGTTCTTTTCGCAGAAAACCATCTTCGTCACCGGAGGCACGGGCTTCTTGGGCACCGCATTAGTCCTGCGGCTGGTCTCGCAGGCTCGCCCAAAATGTATATATCTCCTCTGCCGGGGAGGCAAGCAGTAAACTCTACCACACACAGCCCCAGTAACGTGTAAATGAATCCCTGTGCTGATCTCCATCTCTTTTCCAAACAGTCGGGCCGTACAAAAATGGCAAAAGATCCTTCCCAAGCCCATGTCCGAGACGCTAATCTCGTCGGACCTGATCACCTATCTGGACGGCGACATCCAAGAGCCAAATCTAGCCCTTCCCCCAACCTCGCTTACACTCCTCAAAACAACCACCGAGATCATCATCCACGCCGCCTCATCCATCAACCTCGTGGACCCGCTCCACAAACTATCCCAAAGCATCATCGGCGCTACCGAACGGCTTGCCCACTTCGCGCTATCCTGCCCCCACCTCCACCGCTTCGTGTACATTTCCTCTGCCTTCGCGAACAGTCATCTCTACGCGGAAGCCTCCTCCCGGGCCGCCGTCGACATCTCGGTCCGAGAAACACTATACCCGCTTTATCCATCATCATCATCCCCATCCATCTCCACAGCAACAACCTACAAAGAGCTCCAATCCCGAGGCACAATAGCGGAATACGAGTCCCGGTCAAACGATTTCCCCTGGCCCTACGCCTACGCCAAGCACCTCTCGGAACGGGTCCTCCTTCAAGCCTTCAACCAGAACCATGATCAAAGCCCAAACCATATCCATGATGTCTCCCCCAACAAACTCCTCATAATCCGGCCATCCATCTTCGGCCCGGCCCAGAACTTCCCTTACCGAGGCTACAGCGTACCCTTATCAACACCACTGACCACCATAGCGACAATGGTATCGCTCACCCCCTCAATCCGGTTCCACGCCGCGACACGCGCCAAGCATCCCGATACGGAAGTCACAGCGGACGAAGTGCCCGTGGACGTGGTCGTGGATCGGACGCTGTTTCACCTCGCCTACGGGAGTGTTGGCATTGTGCACGCCGTCTGCGGTGAACGCGGCCGGTACGCGTTCAAAGAGCTCTGGGACGATGGGATGGCGGTGCGGAAGATGCCCTGGCGGTTGAGGATGACTTGGTTGGATGTGGATTGGCATTCTCCGCGGTTGCATTATATCGCGAGGCTTTTTGTGCTTTATGGGATGTCTTTCAATTTCTCCGAGGAGAGGACAGTAGAGCTTTGGGATCGGGTTCCTGAGGATCAGAGGCAGGGGTTGAATGTCTTCAAGGATTATAGTAGGGGGTTTGGTTGGGCGGATAGGAAGGAAGATATGCGAGTCTGCGCGAGAGCGCTTATGAGCTATTTCGGATATCCCAAGTGGATTGGATCGTTACTATAGAGAGTGATTAGGAAAGCGATAAATTATTAGGCGCGTAGGTAGGTAAGTAAGTAAGTAAGTAATGAGTCAATAAGCAGAACCTCTTAACTATAATCGAATCGAAGAATCAAACCAGTGAACAGTAACGAAACAAATCCAGGTAGCAACAACATCTATCACTCTTGTCCTTATATTAGTATTACCACCACCACCACCACCACCACCACCACCACTTACTCTTCCGCAACAATCGACATAACAATCGACTATTAAGCATCGCCTAGCGCCTGAGAAGCCCACCCAGCAAGCCCGAAACACTCGAGAGCAACGAGCTCACAGGGTCTGAGCTTTTGCTATCATCATCTTTATCTTTGTCGTTATCCTTGTCATCGTCTTTGCTTGAAGTGGAGCTGTTGTTGTTGCTGCTTGTCTCGTTGATGTAGATGCTGGAGCCGCTACCCGTGTTGGTGCTTCCATTGTTGTCGCCGCTGCTGTCGTCGGTATCGATCTCGTCGGGCTTCTTACCTTTCGAAGAAGAAGAAGAAGAGGAGGAAGAGGAAGATGTTTTGCTATCTGAAGGAGGATATCTCTTAGCTATCATTCAAGGTTATGTCGGTGTGGGACGAATTATCATAGCTAGGGCTAGTGGTTGAGGCGGGTACTGGCATAGCCCGACACCCCGTTGCTAGAAATAGCTAGCGAGATGCTAGATGTTGAGCTTGTGCCTGTACCACCACTGCCGCTGCTTTCGTCCTCTGTTGGGGTGACCGTAATAACCAGGCTTGTGCCTGAGCCAGTGTTATTAGCGCCGGTGCTCTTACCATTATTGTTGCTGCCACTGCTTCCACTGCCTCCAGAACCATTGCTGCCTCCAGAACCGTTGCTTCCAGAGCCGTTGTTGTTTCCAGAGCCGTTGCTTCCAGAGCCGTTGTTGTTGCCAGAACCATCGTTTCCAGAACCACTACTGCTTCCAGAATTGTTATTGCCTCCAGAGCCGTTGCTTCCAGAGCCGTTGTTGTTTCCAGAACCATCGTTTCCAGAACCATTATTGGTTCCAGAGCCGTTGCTTCCAGAACCATCGTTTCCAGAACCATTATTGGTTCCAGAGCCATTGTTGTCTCCAGAACCGTTATTGTTCCCAGAACCATCGTTTCCAGAACCAGTATTAGTTCCAGAGCCGTTGCTTCCAGAACCATCGTTTCCAGAACCAGTATTAGTTCCAGAACCAGTGTTAGTTCCAGAGCCGTTGCTTCCAGAACCGTTGCTTCCAGAGCCATTGCTTCCAGAGCCGTTGCTTCCAGAGCCATTGCTTCCAGAGCCGTTGCTTCCAGAGCCGTTGCTTCCAGAGCCGTTGCTTCCAGAACCATCGTTTCCAGAACCAGTATTAGTTCCAGAGCCGTTGCTTCCAGAGCCGTTGTTGTTTCCTGAACCATCGTTACCAGAACCAGTATTAGTTCCAGAGCCGTTGCTTCCAGAGCCGTTGTTGCTTCCAGAACCATTATCTCCAGAGCCGTTGTTACCAGAGCTGTTATCATCACATCCATCGCTTACACATCCATCATTATCATCAGAACTGCCGGAGCCATCGTCGTCATCATCGCAGCCTCCGCCGGAAACCTGATCAGTGGCTCCAACATCTCTCTTTTGAGGGCAACCGCCTCCAAGGACTAAAAGCCCAACGGACTGCTCTTCCTGGTATACTAGTCAGCACAATATGCACACCAATATATATCGTAAGGGTAAACGTACAGTTGCGGGAGTCCTAGCCTGTAACTCAACAGGGTGAGCTCCAACCGGGGAGACAAATAGCGAAGCACTCGATAGTGCCAGAGCCAAGATGGCGGTGTGTGTATGAGAAGGCATTGTGCCTAGGGAGCAATAGATTCAAAACGAAGATGTAGGCAGGAATGTTCGTTATACTTGAAACTGGAGGCCTCGGTGGAGACCAGAAAAATCTCAAGACGAATTCGAAACTGGGGCATAAACGTGACCGGGATCAATTACAAGTCTCTCAATTTATAGCATTTCTCTAATGACCTACTATTCATCGTGATGGCGCCAAGATTTCCCGAAACGGCTTGACTAGGTGAAGCAACGTTCTAGGAGGAGTTTGTCACACAGTCAATGCGATGTGATTCGAGATATAGATGTACCCTTAATTCAAGTAACTGGACCTCCGTGCACACTTTGGGTCCCCATGCAGCACCGCTAGCTCGGGCCCAGAGGCGTGTGTGGGCTAAAGTTACATGGTGTAGGAGGGCTACCCACACCCCGATCCAAAGTAGTCGACATTATTCAGAATAAGCTTGTGATAAGAGCTTAGCACAATAGATCTAGCTCTGGGCCCTAAGTGTACGAGAACATTTTGCCACTGTGTCGGCTCTAAAATTCATTCCCACATGATTGGCTGAGTGCTGTTAACATTTCAGACAGGGACGGGTCCCGGGAGAACGGTAGCATTTTTTGCTATTGCTTGTGTAACAGGCATCGCCAATCAATCGCACCTCCTCTACTGGGAGGTTCAGGCCTTCTCCTTCTCCTGGGGGTTCAGCGAGAGAGTCGAGAAGGTCGTACAAGACCGAGGGGTCATGACTGTCTATATTATATGGTATTATAGTGAGTGTGTTGCATCGATCACTATCCCACCCGAAGCCAATGGATAGCTGTGTTCTGGTCCCGGAGACGTCGCCTTGAGGTTGCCTTGCCGGCAGTTTCTTGGAAAGTTGCTGGGGGAATCCCTGGGGGCCCCCCGTCTGTCCTGATTTAGTAAGGCTGATGGTTGCAGAATGCGGATAAGCCAGCATTCTTAACTTAATCCGGGAAGTTTTTTCCGTAGGCGATTTAGGTCACGACGCGCGTGCTCCCTCATATTGGTAGTATAACTGCGAAAGTGATGACGGGTAGAGAATAGTTGACGAAGGAAAGCATACGTTAGAGTTATTGTAGCAATAGAATAAGTTGCGAGAAGTTGTGGACGAGATGAAGTTTTTGGGTGGTTGGATGGAGAGTAATAGTAGGGAGACGGAGGAGGGAGTACGGAGGAGGGAGTACGGAGTAGTAACAAGGTTGGCTGGGAAGGAGCGACTCCGACTGGCTTCCCCGCATGGCTTCAACTCGGCCAACGTCTTTCTCTCTCGACTCTATCGCCTCGCCCTCCCTTCACTCACCCCATTCAGACACCCTTATCGCTAATTACTGTAATCGTACAATCACAGCCATGGCCTCTCTTCTCAAGAAACCATTGAAGCTGGCTCTAGTCCAACTGGCCGCAGGTGCGTACGATTGCTATCTCACTCCGTCCCCGCCTCCCTCGCTCGCTCCCAAGCTGGCCCGGATTCAATGCTGAGAGTTGATGATCTTTAGGCGCCGACAAGACAGTAAACCTTGCGCATGCTCGCTCCAAGGTTCTTGAAGCCGCCAAAGCTGGTGCCTCTCTTATCGTCCTTCCGGAATGTTTCAACTCCCCCTACGGTACCCAATACTTTCCCAAGTACGCCGAGACATTGCTTCCTTCCCCACCCACCCAAGAACAGTCCCCCTCCTACCATGCGCTTTCGTCCATCGCCGCAGAAGCCAAGGCCTACCTGGTGGGTGGTAGCATTCCGGAACTTGAGCCGACCACGAAAAAGTACTACAACACCTCGCTGGTGTTCTCCCCCACCGGTGCCTTGATTGGAACCCACCGCAAGACTCATCTCTTCGATATCGACATCCCCGGCAAGATCACCTTCAAGGAGAGCGAGGTCCTGTCCCCCGGTAACCAGTTGACCGTGGTAGATCTGCCGGACTATGGTAAGATTGGACTGGCCATCTGTTACGATATTCGCTTCCCAGAGGCCGGCATGATTGCGGCTCGGAAAGGCGCGTTCATGCTAGTCTACCCGGGCGCTTTCAACACCACCACCGGTCCGCTGCACTGGTCGCTGTTGGCTCGTGCTCGAGCCGTTGATAACCAGGTGTATGTGGCCTTGTGCAGTCCCGCTCGAGACATGAGCGCTTCGTACCACGCCTACGGTCACAGCTTGGTTGTGGATCCGAGCGCGAATGTGCTGGCCGAGACGGAGGAGAAGGAAGATATCATCTACGCGGACCTGGATAACGAGACCATCCAGAACACGAGGAAGGGTATTCCCATCTACACGCAGCGGCGATTCGATTTGTACTCGGACGTGAGTGCCAATAACAAATAGCCCTGCACCTCGCATTAAGTGCGATGAATATAAGCTGCAAGCCAGTCATAGCCTAGACTATAACTGAACGACTTAATGAACCTAGTCCGCGACCGTCATCCTGGAAAAACGCGATAACTAGTCAACAGTAAGAGTAGGAGAGAGCAAGTAAGAAAGCCTGAAGCGGGAACGATTGCTGCCTCAGGCAATAACATAGTTAGCTGCGGGAAGGTACTCACGTGCTGGTAAAATGAACGAATCAGAGTGCGCACAGGCGATAAGCGAGCCGCACTGGAAAACCCACCAGCACTGCGAAAAAACACCATCTCGAAATCTCCTCATCCTTGACAGTCGACGACCACTGCAGCCCACGACAGCCGACACTTCTGTCCCTCATTCAGTGAGTGAGATCTCTCCGCAGATTTGCTTGAATCTCTTATTCTCTCCGCGAGAATCACCCCCAAATCCTAACATTATTTCCTCAACCACAGAAATGTCCGCCCCCGTCAAGACCGGCAAGAAGACTCGCTCGGCCATCGCCGACGTTGTCACCCGCGAGTACACCATCAACATGCACAAGAGAGTACGTTGAACACAGCCAAACATCTGCACTTGAGATTCATCACAATCCGACTCTACCTGCGAGCGATTTCCGCGGAACCTCGAAAACATGGAGGCAATTGGACGGAGAACAAAAAGACAAGCGGGAGTCCGAATCCTCGTTTCCTCCTCCCACCTCTACCACTCCCGAACTCGAGGAATACGAGTGAAGAAGGAGAGGTTTAGGGCGAGAGAGCCCACCGCACCTGTCTGAAAAACTACATGTGTGGAGGAACAATCAGGAACCAGATTGTTGAGGAAAAAGAAGAAGAAAAACCCATAAAAAGAAGAATTAGTTTGATGAAGTCCACCTCTATGGCCGCATTTTCGCAAAGCAAAACTTTCCAAAATCACATCTACCAGATGGCATTCGGGCGGAAGACTAATATTCGTTCTTTTTTTGGGTATAGATGCACGGTGTTTCCTTCAAGAAGCGTGCTCCTCGTGCTATCAAGGAGATCCGCGCCTTCGCTACCCGTGCTATGGTCAGTTTCCCCCCCAACCCAAATACAAATCACCACCTAACGCATACTCTCATTGAACAGGGCACCACCGACGTCCGTGTCGACCCCCAGCTCAACAAGAAGGTCTGGGAAGCCGGTGTCAAGGGCGTCCCCTACCGTCTCCGTGTCCGCATCTCCCGCAAGCGTAACGACGAGGAGGGCGCCAAGGAGAAGCTCTACTCCTACGTCCAGGCTGTCAACGTCAAGGATGTCAAGGGTCTTCACACCGCCGTTGTCGATGAGGAGTAAATTTACTCTTCATTGATTACATAAAAACAAACATCATGTATCTTATTCCCCCTATTAAAAAAATGGAAGCCCTGATTCTTTGCGAGCTTGACGGGTTCTCTTTTTTTTAATTCATGATGGATGATGCAACGGGACGGGGTTCGGCTTTTTGGAAGAGATCAATAAAAAAATTCCAAAATCTCCTTCCATTTTTTTTTAGTACTATATCAGTAGAAGTACGTAGGGTGATTGATCGACAGTGTTATCGTAGTAGTAGTAGTAGTTTGGAGTCTTGGTGGAGGACTGTGGGCTATCAGCTACCATGTCTTAATTTTTCCTACGCATGGTAGTAGTTCGTGGTGGTAGTGGGGCGGGCACACACATACCATACCTTATGCTGTAGTATCAGTCATGGCAGTTTTACGGGTCACAAATTTTCCCATCCACCAATAATGATACTACAGAGAAGAAATCCAGATTTGAAAGAATTTTTATTAGAATTCTTAGGGAAAGTATAAACATGGAAAAATGGGCAATACCGAACTTCAGAAGCACAATACCATTTCGCAAAGAATTGAAACAAAAACCAGATTCTTCGAATTTCCCACTCGCTATGCTAGATGCGCCTGTTTTCTGGTTGGGCAGACAGAGAGTAAGAGTAACAAACGACGCTACCGAAGATGCAGCCGCAGCAATCAAGTTGCACGATGCGAAAGATAAGAAAGAAAAAGACAAAGATTTTTACTTACACAGGTTGTCGAAATCGGGGAGGAAGGGATGATTGAGGTGTCTGAAGGGTGGAAGTGAAGGGAGATGATGGGGAAAGAGACACCAATCTTCAAAGACAAATTCCCGGTGAGAATATCAGAGGAAAGGAAAAACCACAGATGTCCGTCGGTTTGTTCGGGCGGCAGACAGCCAATCATCTTTTATCGGCCTGTCACGAATGAAAAAAATAAAGATAATAACAGTAGCTGGCAAGGCCGAATGATTCATTTCCAACGGACAAATGGGAGAAGGGCGTTGACCTAAAACGGCGCGGGGTGGAGGGTCTTCTGATGCAGAAAAGCAAGTAGATATAAAACAGAAATCAAGCGAGAAAAAGCACACCATAATACATCGCCATTTAGACGCCAGCAAAGTCCATCAAGTAAATCCAGTCGCATATCCTATGTACCGCATCTAGTCGTAGAAATCAAAGTGTGCAGTACTCAGTTCTTTGTTTCTTCCATGGATTTGCAGAGGCGCTCAGCATCCGCGTTCGTCTTGACCCGCAGGGCCCACATCTGAGGAGGGCCTTCGGATTGAGGGACAAGGAATTGGACGCTGTTCTTCGCCACGGAGTATCGAATCTCTTTCATCAAGCGCGTGTTCAGAATCACCTTGCCGCTCGGGTCTGCCCGGACGACAATCCGCCCACGAGAAGTGGTCCGATCCTTCAGAACACGAAGGAATCCGACGCCTTGACTCTCCCACCCTGTGCCAGTTGTATGCTTCATGGCACGGGCCCGGCTCTCAGTCACAAGATCTTCGTTTTCCTCGCCGGCGCCGCCCCGCGTAAGATCGACCTGAGGCAGGGACTCGGCGCCATCACCGTCTCCCGACTCTTCTGCTCCCGTGTCCGATGCACCTCCGGGGGTGGTGGAACGGCTGGCAGCGGCAGAAGTAAGTGTGGATGGAGCAAAGACAGACGGCGACGACTGCCCCGGCGTACCAAAGGTAAACCCAAGGGACGGTTGGGCATCCTTAGAAGTAGATGATTTGTTTAGAGAAGGTGGTGCACCGAAAAGATTGGAGAATGGCTTGGGCGCCTCAGGTGCTGGTGTTGCCGACCCAGAGTCCGGCTTTGACGATGAAGCGCTGGCAGAGTCGCTGGCAAACTTAATCGGAGAATCTGGCTTCCAGGTGTTATCTCCAGTCGACTTAGTGGCGCTTTGGGCTGCATTGAAGATGGACGGGGTGCTGTTTCCCGAACCAGACAAGGGTGTACCAAAGATGCTGCTAGTTGTGCTTGGTGCGCCAAAGAGGTTGGTCGTCGCGGGCTTCGCCGCAGCTTGGTTGGACTCGCCACTGCTGGCTGGTGTGAGGGAGGTGGGTGTGTTAAAGGGAGATGAGAAGTTGGAGGACCCGAAGAGACTCGAAACGTTACCCTTTTGCTCCTCTTCACCCTGGCGCTTGGGTTTTCCGTCCTCGCCATACTGAACGCGATCGAAAAGGCTGCGACCACCAGCTTCGGGCTCCTTGGCTGAGGACTCGGCAGATTCAGCCTTCTTGTCAGCTGAACCAGCACTATCCGTCGCATCGTCGGACTCGTCGCCAGGAGTTGAGGCTTCCTCGGTGTCATCCGCATCGTTGTCATTGTCATTGTCATTGTCTTCGGCCTCAGATGGAGTCGCCGACAGATGACCAAAAATATTGTTGGACTTGACTGCAGCGTTGTTTTGGCTTGAGAAGACGGTGCCAGCGCCGGGAGTGGTGGAAGCGGACTCCTCTGCCTTCTTTGCAGGAGACTCGTTGCTCTCTTCTTCAAAAACGAAGCCTTTACCAGGGACGAACTTTGCACGCTTCTGGGTTTGAGTCCCAAACTGCTCTTTCTTTTTCCGTTGCTCCTCAGCGTCACGGCGTTCCCACTCGGCTTCGTCTTCTTCCTCCGAGTCAAAGTCCTCGGCTTTGCGCTTCTCTTTCTCCTTCTCGGCATCCTCAAAAGACCGGGCCTTGAACTGGGCAAAGAAGTCTGTGCCACCTGCAGAGCCTGTGGAAGATCCGTCACTGGAGGTAGGCTTCAGTACAAAGGGGTTCTTGGGAGCGGTTCCAGGTGCGGCTGATGCTGAGGTAGCACTAGACATGGACGAGGAGAAAAGCGAGGTGGAAGCCGATCCCTTCGAAGTCGAATCTGAGACAGAGAACAGAGGTTTGGCGGGTGCCGTAGTTGGCGTGGTAGAGAACAGAGCGGGTTTAGTAGGTTCGGGGGTGGTCGGCTTGGTCACGGCAGGTTCAGGCTTGTCAGCCTCGGTCTTGGACTTTGAGAATGACTGAGCAAATATGTTTGCAGTGCTGGAGTCTCCGTTCACACGCTTAGCAGGACTGTTGCTATCGCCATCATCAATTGACTTTCTCTTGGCCTTTGCCGGAGAGGCCTGGCTTGTGCCAAATGCCTTGAACGGTGTGGAGCTTTGTGCAGAAACAGCCGGAGCAGTAGAGTTCTCCTTGGGTGTGTCAGCCTTTTCCGTGGGGCTACCAAATGGCCGAGCTTTCTTAGTTGTAACAGCATCCTCAGCTTCGCCTGATGCCTTGCGCTTTGAACCAACGGAAGCGCCAAGGGTGGCGCGAACACGCATGTAAAACTGGACAGCGGTGTCGAAGTTCTGACTCGAGGGGTCCAATTTAGCTAGCTCGCGCTGGAAGCACTCGTTCAGTGTGCGCATGCGATAAAGCATCTCAGTATCTTCGGAAGTTTTCTTATCCGTTGTCTTATCTGCCAGTTGCGGAATCTGCATCTGTCCGAAAGTAGACGGTGCGTTGTTTCCGTTGGTGAAAACCGGAGGTGTGGACTTCGCACCATTGACCTTGACGGGACTATCAGCGGGAGCAACAGAAGTTGAAGCCACCGTTGCTTGAGTCTCCGTGGCGGGAGCCGGTGATGCTGCAGGCTTGGGTGAGAAAAGATTCGAGGTTTGAGAGAAACCACCACTTGAAGGGGTAAATGACACTGGACCAGGGGTGGCCTGCTTTTCCGGTTCGCTCGTCTTTGCTGCATCGTTGGGAGCACTTGGCTTGGAGAAAAGACCCTGGAAAGGTGTGGAAGAGGAAGGAAGGGGCTGCTGCTCGCCTGCAGGTTTGCTCGGAGTCGCCGGCTTCGCAAACAAGCCACCAAAGGGGGTTGCTGGCGCCTTAGTCTGTTCCGAGTCTGCAGTTGCAGGTGGCTTAGGCTCAAAGAGATTCTTCGTAGACGAAGTCTGGAATAAACCAGTCGAAGGAGCAGCCGGAGCTGCAGAGGCAGTGGCATCGCTCTTGGCAAACAGAGAGCCTGGTGTAGTAGTTGATGCAGAGAACTGGAATGGAGATTTAGGCTGCGACTCGGCAGGCTTTGGCTCTTCCTTCTTCTCTTCGGTGGGCTTTTGCGATGTCGAGGGCGTGGTTTGGAAGAGGTTCGATGACTGGAAAGGATTTTGGAATGGCGTAGAGGGCTTCGCGGGGGAAGCAGCGCCGAATAATGAGGATGATGCCGGAGCAGCGGTGGTCGCAGCAGCCGCGGCGGGTGTCGAAGCAGAGGGGGTAGGGGTGGCAGCGCCGCCAAACAGTGATGTTGAAGGCGTGGTTGCCTTGAAATCGAAGACGGGCTTGGAAGGGGTCTCTGCGGCCGACGAAGCAGATGCGCCAAACAATGAAGTGCCTCCAGCGCCCGCAAAGCTGGGCTGAGCCGGAGGAGCGCTACTAAAGATGGATGGTTTCTCCTGGGAACCGCCACCCTTTGCATCAGGGGAAGTTTGCATCGAGTCATCGCCACTAAAAGCTGAGGATTGACCGAATGGGGACGGCTTCTTCACGCTAGACTGCCCGAAGAGATTCGTTGAAGGTGTACTGGCAGCAGCAGCATTGTTTTGGCCGAATATGCTTCCTGAGGCGGGAGTAGCCGCACCAGAGGCAGAAGGGCCATTGTTTGTGCTGGCGCCGAAGAGGCCACCCGTGCTAGCGTTCGACTGAGATGATGTGCCAAATATTGAGCCTGAAGGCAAAGGCTGCTGAGCGGGGGATTGGCTTCCGCCCGGAGGAACGTTAAACATTGAGCCCTGGAAGCCCGAGAAGCTGGCCGGTTTAGATGACTGGTCGGAAGTGGTAGTGTTCATACTGGCGAATGGGTTGCTAGCTGAGCTTGTACCGCCAAAGGATGAAGAGAAATTGAAGGAAGAAGAGGAGCTTCCACTCCCTCCAGAGCCAAAAGCAAATGGAGTGCCTCCGTTCTGGCTGGGTGCCGAACTAGCTCCTGGGAAACTCTGGTTCTGACTCTGGCCGAAAGTGAATCCGTTGGAGGCTGGCTGGGAACTAGCGAGTGGGGATGAGACTGTGTTAGGGTCGATGGAAGCGAAAGGGCCTCCGCCAAACGACGGCGCGGGAGCACTCGGAGCTGCACTGTTGGGACGACGCCTCCGAACTTCTTTAATTCTAATAGTAGGGTTAGCAACGAGGTTGTGATTGATTGACGTGCAAAGGATACTGATGAGCGAGATGATAAGATGAAACATGAGGTGGAGTGGTATGAACGTGTGGAGAAGGCAAGGTGTTGGATGAAAAGAGAATACACAATTAAGGAAAAGAAAAATAGAAAGTGACGGGAGATCAAACTCAAGCCCTGTTTTCAACACGCGTCCCAGTAACTTTGGAGGCTGCAGGACAAGTGAATGATTGCATGCATGAGATTGGCCGTAAAGGTCGGTCTACATCCACTTACTTTCTGTTCGCAAGCTGCGCCGCGGTTGCCCGCTGCGGCTTATCGTCCGGTGTGCTCGACATGTTGAATGCAAATAGATCGCTGTCCTTGTCCCCCTGAGGGCCCTGGGCCGATCTCTTAGACATCTATAGTTGAGCCCCCGATGTCTTCAGCGGCGAGATCCTCGATGGTTATTTCAGACAGCAGTTGACTTCAACCCCTTCTTGTGTGTCCGATTTCACCCCCTAAGGACCGTGCGGCATGCACAATGTACGATTATTCACTGCGTACAAATGATATCCAGGGACGGCAGTTGACCTCTCGAGTCCGGCCGGTAAAATCTGTGCCCGTAGCTCCAAAGACTCCTAAAGGCACGTCGGTTGATATACGGGGTCTCTTAATCAAGTGGGTGTGAATGGATCCGCGAGCCGAGCGATCAACGTATTCCGCGCAGGTGTCGTATCGAAGAATCGCGAGTGATTTGGTCAAAATCGGTGAATTATCCAAAGATAGACCTGTCCAGGAAGTGAGGGCAGGTTATGGCGCGATCGTCTGGTGAAAGAGTCGCGCTGCGCGAAACTAGCGAGGCCACGAGACCAGAACGGGATCAAGGGAGGAGGGAAGGGAGTTGAAAGGCAGAGCAGTGAACGTTAGGTACTACTAGATGTAGTGATGAAGAGGCGCGGCTCCATTCGATGCGCTCTGCCTTGGTGAAGATGGGGGGATGTGCTCAAGTGAGCTTCTATTTTTTAGCCTTGAAGCGTCGGCTCGCGACTTTTGCCGGCAAAGAGGGAAGGTTGCTGGCAGAAAAAATTACGGTCACGTGATGTCCATGCAAGGTGACATCTTGGCGGGATGACAAAAAGGCGCTTTCGCTTTTTTACGTGCCCCAGGCGAGGCGACCTTGAGCCATGGTCGACCAGGATCTTGCTTAGCAAAGAGACTCTCTACTAGGTTAGCCGGTGGCCAGTATCATAATGATGATGATGGGGCTCTTTGGCTCTGATGTTGAGAGAAAGGAAGGGTTTCTTTCTTTTGTTCTGCAAACCCCCATCCTTGTCTTCCGCATTCTGTATTATTACCACAATAACACAGACATCCTGAAGAGCAGGCGGCATGTCAAACGGTACCCTTACGGGGTATTGTGATTTCTTTCCACTTCGGGTCACCCGCAACCCTTTCACCTTCTGGTTTCCATGGCAAGTTCCCTCATTCTCGCAGCTGCAGGGCGTGCCGTTTTCGCAGCACGGATAGTTTGACACCTACATGTGTCTATTCATTTTATTATTCTTGATGGTCGGAGAGTGCCGATCTGATTGTCCGCATATTTAGGTCACTAAATATTTGGTGAGTGTACTATACAGAAGTAATAGTAGTAAGTATAGTGTAGTGGCCGTAGCCACTACTGCTTCGGCAAATATATACTTCATCGGCATGACGTGACCACTCACCACAATTTGAATTTCAACAAACGAGAAATCAGCGTGATAAAAAGCCCGATAACGGAGGGTTTATCGACGTGACGAAACACGGCCATAGAATCAAAATCTGCCTTTTCTCCGGATTTGCCTTTTCCTCACCCTAGTCGTAGTTCCTATTTCTACAGCTCTACAGAATACTACTAATACTAGCAATCGACTGAAATGACGTCGCGGCATTGTTAAGCCTATCCCTAGCACATACATAGTCCTTGGCAAAATACACGAGCAGTGCCTAATGACCTACCATGTAACTGAGACCCACTGATGAATAAAAGAAACACAAGAACAGCAGTGTTTCACTGTCGATGTTTCAACTGTAGCAAAGAATAACGAGCAAAAATCGGGTATCTATAGCTTGGCCTTGCCCTGGGCCTTCTTCAGGACGGGCTCCATCTTGGTCGCCTTCATAATGTTGCCCTTAATCTTGAGCTTCCCACCCATGAAAAGTCTCTGAGCGTTGGCCTTGCCGCTTACGAGGGCACTGAAGTCGGCATCCGAAAGGGAAAGAGTCACTGCAATAACATCGATGCCTCATCAGTATCGGATACATTATTTGGTGCAGAAGCTGATTGAACTCACCATCAGCCTTTCCTTTCTCGGGAGCAGCACCCTTGCCCACGACACCCTTGTCCTTGAGGTCGAGATACCAGCTCTCTTCTTGGCCCTTGTCGTTCTTGATGTTGAAAGCGACGACCGCTTTAGCCTTGTTGATGGCCTCTTTGCGCTCGGCAGCATCAGCCTGTAGAGTCGAGTTGATGGCGTCGAAGGCGGCAGAAGAAGGGAAAGCGTCTGTAGGGGTGTCACAAGGATCAGCCACAGCTCAAGATTAGGATGGCGACCAGAGCATAGACGTACCGTTCTTGAGAGACATGGTGACTATGAGAGGAGATAGGAAGGGTTTACAGACAATGAACGAAGAGGTAAGGAATGTGTAAGTTTTGATGTAACCAGAAGTAGTCAGACAGACTGTCACCGAGGAGGGACCGGAGTTATATATTAATAGCAGCGCTGGACCCCGGGGTTGCTTATTATTGCGGCGAGAGCTTCCCCGGAGAGTTCGGGCGACGGAACATGTGAAATGGAGGCGGTCGGGGCACGGTTGGACCGAGGCTGTCCACTACTAAATGTAGAATAATTACTAGTTAGTAACTAGTCAGTCAGCCATCCAGTCTTTCTCCTGTGATCTGTGATCAACCAAGTAGTACCACCACCACCACCTTGATTGACCCTTTGCTACTTGCTTTACAGTCTACATTGCACTTCTCCCTTGCTGCAGGTGTCAGATTAAAAAAAATATCTACATAGAACTCTACGTCAGCGGTGCAGATTGGCTGGTTCAATTGCACAAGCCAGACTGCTACGAAAAGCTACTTGCTTCCTGCCTTGATCAACCTTGCTGATAAACTCTCAACGACCCAACCAACACCTTTCTCGGTCTCGGAGATCTACAATAATCTTTACTCCATTACCGCTTCCCCATATGGTTGTTTTAAGTAACCTGACCGAGGACCATTTTGCAAGTCGGATACTGATACCCACATGCAAGCGATCGTGTCTCGTGTGACTTGGCGCTCTCACACGCCCACCCATCATTGTCCGCGGGATCGCCAAGAATGATTTCATTTTTGCCGCCTCAGGCAGTCTACCCACTTTGCAATACCAGGGTCTCTACACAGTATACAACTTGAGACGTAAATACAATCATTCGTTTCCTAAACCCAACTAATCTCTAACCCGTACCATCTTACCAAACTCGGCACGGCAACTCTCGCTGATCGCCGCAACACAAAGGCATCCAGACATCGCCTTTCGTGGCTCAACTTCATTCACACGTAACCGAGTTACGCTTCTTACGCCGCACAGTGAGCTTTGTGGTCACAGGTGGCAGCTGGAAACGGCCCCATCCTACATGATTATTGGTCAACACTTTCTCCTGCTTATAATGAGTACCCATCAGCGAAACTTACTGTGAATCTTAGGACGCACTAAAATAGGCTGAATGTCATAGTTTAGTAGCATCTCCGCGATGAACACCTTGAAAATGTGGGCGAAGATAAAGCGTCCAGGGCACTGCCGACGACCGTGACCGAAGACCACATACTCATCGCTAGGCGTGGTCATCGAACTCTGACGTCTCTCGCTTTCAGATGCATTCTCGGTGTAAAATCGGTAGGGATTGTATCTAGCCGCCTCCGGATAGAATTCCTCATCCCGGTGGAGGGCATACTGGGGGATCCCAACCTTTGTCCCGCAAGGCAGGAAAAGACCGTTTGCAAGAGTGACACCATTGGGGGCGACAACCTGCATTGTAAGTGAGACCACGAAGTGAGAAAGGGGAAAGTCGGAATTTCATGCATACCTTTCTCGTCGGGCTGGCAGCGTTAATGCCGTTCAACCGGAGGCTCTCTTTCACAGCACTGTCCAGCAGTGCAGCCCTTCCCAGGTCCTCTGCCGTCCAGTCCCCACTTGAACTACCAGAAATGCCCTCAACTTCTGCTCTGAGATGATTGACAAGGTTCTCATCAATCGGATCACTCAAAATATCAAGAAGAACACTTGTAGCAGACACTGCAGTCGTGTGTACGCCCGGGAAATTGATCATGAAGATTCTATATGATAGCCACATGGACGTGGCTTCCATCGGCCATTTGCTGCGAAGTCCGGCCCGAATGAGCAGGTCCAGCAAGCTATCCTGAGGGAAAGTCAGCACAAAACCGAAGACTGTGGGCAAGGTACTCACCATAGACTTCAGCGTTTCCTCTTGGACTTCGGGATCCGTCTGCTTTTGCTGCTCTTTGATCTTGGACTCAATAATAGGCTTCATGCGCTTGTGGAAAATCACCTCGAAGTATCTATTGACCATTCCTACAATGGGCCCGATGACTCTGAGAGAAGATTAGACCCCCGGGTAATACGATTAGTGTGGATATACGTACGGGTGAACGAAAGACGGAAACGCCTTTATGATACTGGCACCAAAGACGATGGCATCCGAGCAATGTGCCATGGCATTCAGAAGGGTCTCGTCGTCGCTATGGCCCGGTCCAATCGCAAGCACATTGATCATCCGCGACGCCATCTTCTCCATTGCACAGTACAAGTTGATCTCGACCCATTTGTCAGTATCTTCGCCCCAGAGGTCTTTCAGACATGATCGAGCTTCCTCAGCCAGTGATCTTGCAACCGTGTCCGTCTTGAGGGTTTCCGTCAGATCTTTACTGATGAGCTTGACATAGTTGTCATATTTGTTGGCAAAAGCCAGCGGCCAGCTGGTGTACTTCAGTTGGAAAAAGTCAGTAATATAGGCTTTGAAGCTGTATTCATTTTCTTTCGAAAACAAGACGTGCTTGGCCAGGTCTTTTGGGAGAAGAACTTCATCGCCCTCGGCGACGCTGGGCAGCACGAATGGTTTTTGATGTTTGGAGTACTAGATAAAAATGATATCAGCAAGAAAGAAGAAAGACATGCTTCAAAGGCGTGCCACCAACCTTCTGATAACCCTCGCGAATAAAGCTTATGGGGTTGACGCCAACGAAACGCTCCACAGCACGCCCTAGGAGACTCTTCCTGTTCAAAGCCCGAGGAATGTCATTAGGAACCGGCGAAGTCTCAAAGAGTTTCACGACAAGACACAAGCCAACGCCTATGATGCCTATCACGAGCCAGGAGGCGGTGCTAATTCCGAGAAACATGTCTCCTACTTTGGGATGTGTAATCGATCCTTCAGACTAAGATGAAAACGCCCATCCACCGGATTGGATTGGTCGATACTATAGAGTGATCGCTACGTACAGGCACACCCTTTATGTACTCACAAACATAGGACTACTCTATGGCTTTTGACACCATCATCGGCTGCTTCCAGGATTTATCCTATCGATCAATGTATGGGAGCTCTGGAGAGAGCAGGTATATTCAGTTACAAAAAGGTCAACCAACCTTGGCACCGGAGGGCCCCGGTCCATCGACCCTAGGTTGCTCACAAAATAGCAACGCCTGGATAAAAAATACCGACCAATGAGATACTGGACTGGCTGAACTTCTCGAGCTACCATGAACTAGGTAAACTATAACAGTCAGGTTTACGGGGAGCTATATACTTGAAGTCGAAGTGCTTCAGCCTGCATACTGAATGCCACTGGATTGACAATGAGAGGCCAACCCTAAAGCTGAGACTAATGAATCGCCGGATTACTGCACAAGACCTCCAGCCATTGCAAAATCTTCGGATTGCGAAATTAGAGACCAACTGTTGACTGTCAACGTAGATTCAGCTGCTATGAGACGAGAAAACCTTATGCGTCACATATGAGGCATGCCCTCGCAATTCGACTCATTGTAGCAAGGTCTAAGGCATCCCACATCCATATGTGACTACCCATCATTCTCTACGACTGGATCCACTGCACCATGTGGTGGTCACGATCATAAGTAGGAGCAAACGAGTCAATGGCCCACATATTCCCCGCCGTCTGACAAGTAGTTATGGACAAACATTATCGTGAACCAACGACACCAACATGACGGAAGACAAGATCTTCCACTCACTCTGGGATTCACGTCAACTAAATTCTAGTTTGCTCCACCTCGACAGCCGGGATACCAGCTGCCTTCTGTAGTTGGACCGACAGGCATGCTATCTGGGATTGAATCCAGTAGTCCCGATATTTAGGAATATAAAAAACTAGCTCTAGAGTAATACCTAATATTTTCGTCTC